GTGCAAAGAGCCATTAGGAAATCCATGATTTTGCTGAATGTCATTGGCCTAGCACCATGTCACATTAGCTTTATTGTCTTTGTGCTGCTTCATGTACATATGTTAATGTCCGTCCAGCTCCTGAACCTGAGAGAAGCCAGGGATCTCTCCTGGGCATCAGTGCATATAAGTATTTTTTAATGAATAAAAATGAAAGTATCAATAACTTTGAAACTTTAAATGGTGCTTGAGCATCCAACACCATTTGAGTTAATAGACTGGTAACATCTCAATTGAACAAAAACTCAAAACCTTTTTCTTGTGGTTACACATATATACTGGGCTGCATTTGGACCCATTTACTTGAACTGTGTTGTGATAGGAGTCTTGGCTGAAGACATAGGAGACCTGAGAACTTTCTGAACCATATACTGAAGATTTTTCTAATCTGTAAAGGGAGAAGGTTAGAGCACATGCTTTTTAAGGTTTCTTTCAGCTCTAAAGGTCTATGATGAAATGAATCTATTGCATCTTCATAAACATGTGTTGGGTTTCAGTGGCTCCTGAAGACTGTTTATTAGAATGTTGGAAAACAAGTTGTAATTTTAATATCCTTTCAAAGGAAGGTCTGAAAGTCGGCAACTTAGAGAAAAACCAACTAACAGATAGTAGGCAAATTTAGCTGGATCAAAAACAAATACATATTTATTTTTTAGGTTTAAAGATTGTTGAGTAATTGAATGATTTTTCTCCTTAAGTTAAAAATGTATCCCCCCCCTTTTTTTTGTATAGAATATGGGTTTTGCCATAAGAAGATGGTTTTGCCTACCACTGGGGTGCATGATGCTGATCAATCTGATTAATGCAGATTTTGAATTTCAAAAGGGAGTGCTTGCCAGTGTGAGCCCAGGGATTATGGAAGACATTGATCTCCAGTGCTGGAACGTGTGCTCTTTGACATTGATAGATCTCAAGGAACTTAAGATAGAGCACAATGTGGATGCTTTCTGGAATTTCATGTTGTTCTTGCAAAAATCCCAGCGGCCCAGACATTATAATGTCTTCTTAAACATAGCTCAGGATTTCTGGGACATGTATGTGGACTGCTTGCTGTCAAGATCTCATGGAATGGGCAGAAGACAGGTGATGCCTCCCAAGTACAATTTTCCACAGAGAATAACAGGAAGTAGTTTAAATGTATACTTTAGAGAATAGCAGTTTAGTTTTCTTAAAAATTCAATATTTAATCCTTTTTATTTTTCAAGTTTATCCAACAAGCTAGGAAACTTATCATATTTTTTCCTAATATGATTGGCTTATTTTTACTGATCTCATGTTATTTAGAAACCACAGGAGCTCTAATGTACAAACACTTGATTCTATATGGTCTTGGAATATAGTACATTTTGGTAGATCATTAAAATTATCTTATTTTTTTTTCCCATGAAAAGTTCATGAGAAAACCATTTAACACTGTAATCATATTACATTTGTTGAATAAATTTTAAACATTGGACATTTAGGCTTTTGAAATTAATTTCTTCAATAGAGTTGTTTAAAAGGAGGGAATCTCAAGTAAGTATTAAGTTTCTCTTGTAAAGGGCTGAATTTTACAAAATGTGAATTTTACATTTAAAGGAGAACATGGAAAATATCTCAAGCAAGATGACACCAACCTGAGTTTAACTCTGTCCGTATTTATGAGGTCAAATATTTCCTGTAGTATTTATCAAAATTGTTATTTCTAATTCTTTAATATCGACAAAGCTTGTATTTTTGTTGATGTGTAATTGCCTTATAGCTATTGAATGATTTTCCATCTTTTCAGATAATTTTTAATAGCTATTTATTTTAAAGCCATCTTTGTAAGCATCTTTATTTTAAAGAAAATGGCACCTAAAATGCAAATGCAACATATTTTTTTAATACAACAGTTAATGGAGTAAAATTGTAACCAATTTTATAAAGTAACTTATACATAATATTCACTTTAAAAGTGTGCCAAAACTAATGGCAGTATTGTTATAAAAAGTAATTTTAATTTTGATGTGCATGTACTGTGGTTTCTGATATGTGCATTTCATCACTGAGCCATCTTATATATTAAAGTATTGTTCTATGCATTAAGGACTAAATTTTTTTGTGTTCTCATTTTTATTGTTTTTATTTTTTAAAAGGAATAAAAATTGAAAATTCAGTAAGATACTTCATTTTAGTAGTTTGACAGAATTTTTGTCTTTAGGTGTTAGCTTATTTTTTTATATTTTTTATTTATAGCTCACATCTTATTCCAAAAAGGATATGAAGTTTTAAAGAAATATACCAAACAATAGGATAAGATGAAGTAAATGAAGAAATTGATGATGGGAAATGAAGACAGGAAACTAATATGCAGTTTTAGTTTAGATTAATACACTAAAATGCATGTCATAAAAAAACTTTACCTTTAATAAAGGGTAGCTGTAAATTTGGTCCGAGTTTTCTACTTCTCAAGGTGAAGAAGGACTCATGACCAGTTTCGAGATTCACAAAACTGATATAAAAAATGACATTTGTTTGGGAGAAGCCCAGCTTTTCCAAGGACTAAGAGTCAACAGAAATCTGTCCTATAGGGTTTCCTAGTGGCTACCATGGTGTACAGCACTGTGTTTTCAAGTATCTTGACAATGACAGATTCCCTTCAATGCAGGCTGATGCCAACACACTTGAACTCAATTAAATATAAACAATTTTAAAAGCAGCAAAAGTAATTCTGAAGAAGTATGCAACTGATGGTTTGACTTGATCCAAGGATAAACTTTGAATCAAACGGGTGAGTGCTTACATTCTCTGAGTATGGACCACTTTGAAATTCTGATGAAACTATAGACTCTTTACCAGGTGTTGTATATACATACACACATTCATCATTTTGTGTATAATTTTGGAGTGGGGGGGGGCTCCATGAAAACCAGGTTAAGAATCTCCAATGTTAAAGAATGAATAGGCTGCATAGCTTTCAGGCGTATTTTACAAATATTTAATATAACAGTTTTGTATAATAACCAGTTAATAATAATGTTTTTAAGTCTAATAAATTCCTAGATTGAAAATATTTTATCCTGCCAATTAAAAATGGATCCCTAAGCTCAGAAAATCAACTGGTTCAAGAGTAGGGCTTATGTTCTCTTGACCAGACAAATATCCAAGATGTCGAATTCATTTCCTGAAGGTAGAGGTAGAGGGTCATGATTTTTTCTTTTTTTTGGAAAACAGCTCTTTTACAACTTGTGGGCAAATGACTGAAGGTCAAAAGTTCAATGCCATAAAGCAAGACCACGTAATTTTACCTAAAAAATTGTCCAACCAGTTGTATAAATTATGAACTTTTCAGTGTTCATATAATTATTAGCCTTCCAAAACAGGTTAATTACAAATGGTTCCCTAGTGCTAATTGAATTTATATGCTACATTGAATTATTAAAAAATATTAAAAATAAGAACATTTGCCAAAAAAGACATTCCAATTTTAGAGCAGTTCATCTTAAGTCTTTTTGATGGTACTTAGATATCATGTTCTGTTAAAATTCTCCTAAGTTTTTGGCCCAAATCATGTCATTTGTATATAAAATTTTTTTTTATCATTCATTCATTCACTCAACAAAAATTCATTGGGCTTGGAGGTACACTACTGAACAATCCAGATACAATTCTTGACTCACAGAGCTGTCATTGTAGTAGGACAAAAGTACAGTAGGAAATATAACTAATTCAAAAGTGGTTTTATATCAAAATATAAATTAAAAAGAGAAATGGTGCCCAAAATGGGGTTGAGTAGGGAACGATATGTATTCTTTTACCCTATTCAAAATCATTTGACTAGGTTAGTCAGAAGATCATTAAAAACAAAGCAAAAAACTCACTAATTCTTGCAGTGGCATTATGGAAAAGACTCCATCTATTTTTCAGCTTTGGGTTTATGCTGAGCTCCTATAGCTTAACTCATAACCAGTTATTTTCCTGAGAGCTTAACTGAGGAGAAAAAATAAGGCAGCAAAACACCTAACATTGCTTACAAAATAGTTCTTCATAAAGTGATACAATGGACAATAATTGAGTATCTATACCTAAAGTTCCTCTGCTCTTCCTATACAATTTTTTTTTTTACTTTAAATGTTTTATTTTAGAATAGTTTTAAGTTACAGAAAAGTTGCAAGGATAGTGCAGAGTTCTTGTATACTCCTCAACCATTTTTGCCTATTGTTTACATCTTATATTAGTATGGTACATTTGTCCTAACTAATGAACAAATACTATTACATTATAAACTAAACTTCATACTATATTTGGATCTCACTAGTTCTTCCCTAATGTCCTTTTTCTCTTTCAGGATCCGATCTAGGACACCACATTACATTGAGTTGTCTCCTTAGGCTCTAAGATGTTTTTGATGACCTTAACAATTTTGAGTATGTTTAGGTATATTGCAGAATGTCCCTCAATTTTGGCTTGTTTTTCTCATGGTTAGACTTGGGGTTGTAGGGTTTTTTTATAAAGTAATATTCTTAACACTTTATATCAAGGGTACATGCTATCGACATGACTTAATACTGATGCTATTTAATCTTGGCTAAGCAGTGTTTACCAGGTTTCTTTGCTGTAAAATTAGTTTCCCCTCTCTTTCTATACTGTATTCTCTGGAAGTAAGTCATTATGCATAACCAACACTTAAGGAAATGAGGAGTTAGGTTCCATCACCTTGAGGAGAGAATATCTATATAATTTACCTGGAATTCTTTGTATGGGAGATTTGTCTCTCCTCCCTCCTTCTTCTTCTCCCCCCCCCCCATCATTTATTTATATTAGTATGGACTTGTGGACAATTATTTATACTTTGAGTTTTGATCCAATATTACATTGTTTATTTTGTTAACTCAAATTGTTCCAGCTTTGGCCATTGGGAGCCCTATAAGATGCTCCAGATGCATCTTGTATGTTTCTGCCCCATCCCCCATTTCTTCAAAGAGCCCTGGTTTCTTTCATTGGAGAATATTATTAGAAATCAAGATCTGAGCACTGGGTCTATCTATAGAATTTTGACCTGGTAGTACCAGGCCAGTTTCCAGATGTCAGAGGCTGCTTTTCTCTTTCTCAGAAAGCATCCTTGACTATAAACTAAATAAAAGCAATTATGAAACATGAATGCTAATGAAACTCATGTAAACTTAGGCTCTGTTGGCAAAAAGAGTGTAAAAATGAGAGGGACTAGTTTCATTATACTACCCTCCATGGGTCCTGTTATACCTGGAAATCCTTGTTTGGTTCAGCTGGTCACAGTATAGAGAAATATTAACAAATTGTATCATTTCACAAGAGGCTAGTCAGGTTCATAAAGTCTGGAAGGAGTAAATAAGAATGATTAGAGAAACTGTCTATTTGACCTGAAAAAATTTAAGGTGAACATCATAGTTTTTTTTTTCCTGAGATACAAAATGTACCTTGTGTTCCAGAAGACAGACTGAGGACTAGAGCATCAAAGCCACTTTCATCTATGCCCACTAGACTCCATCATTTTTATTCTTTTGCCTTTCTTTTCATTTAGTTTTTAGCACAAGTTTCAGTTTGAGAGCTTGAAATTTTGCCTCTACTGACTCATGGAAGGAAACATACTGTCCACCTCTCTGTCAGGCTGGATAGGCTAGGCAGTACATCCCATAGGGCTCAGGAGTGTGGAATAACAGAATGTGAAGAAGCAGTGACATTGTGAGACAGACTGATTCACTCACTCCCTGCCTTGTGGCTGGAACTGTAATATACAAACTTTGGTGCAGTCTGTCTATCAAGTGCCAGTGCCTGGATTAAGCAACATAACTATTCTCTACCCACCTACATTTCTTCAGCTGTTAAATGGCTGCTAGGTAATAACCTGCCCTATTTTACCTTTTCTCCTCTTGATGAGTAAGATTCATATGGCAGGGGCAAGGTCCACAGACATCACAGAGTACTTTGCTTGTGGCCAGTCCTAATCAATCTGGAGCTAAGTTGTATTACATACGAAAAATGACACTGAACCAAGTGATATCAATTCTATTTTCATACATGCTTTATTAATGTAATAGTATTTATACCTCATCATTTTAGAGGAAGTATATCGCTGTTATGAAGTAAATATATTTGAACTACTATAACATGTCTGGGTTTAGCATTACCTGCATAGTATTTTGTTGGCTGAATCTTCCGTTTGAGCTCAAGACTTTGCTGCAGCTGCAGAGTTCAAGGGAAAGCTGCCAGGAGCTGAAGCCACCATCACACTTATTCAATAATTAATTTATTGAGGTATGGGTTACAATAATGAATGAGATATGGTTTCTACCTTGTCCTTAGGGAGCTTATAGTCTACATAATGGGGCAAAGATTTATTGTTCTTAACTATGGACACTGCATCTTGATTCTCTGAGATATACCTGAGGTGTATGTGGTGCTTTTTGTATGGGCATCTCACTGTTGCATGTTTCTACTCACATCCATTCTTGTGTCTCAGTAACTCCCTTTTACGTGGAATCTTTGTGCTTAGGGCTTTCCATGAAGTAGAACAAATTATGCCTTCTAATATCTTGTCACGGGTGGTAGTAATAGAGAAAAGGATTCAGGAAGGACAAAGCTCACTAATAAGGTGCTGCATACTACCTACTCCTCTGGGCCACAATGAGAATGGGCGGCCACAATGAGAATGGGCAGCAGGGCCAGGGTGAGAGAGAGACTGCTGGCCAAAGGTGAACTGGCAACTCATTCTAATTAGAATAATAACAGCTGCAATTTCTCCCTTCATTGTAGATGTTACTGTCCTCACGGACAAGGATAATGGAAAATTCTTGGAGGAATGTGAGTTGGAAGAGGAGAAGGAGGAAGGAGGAAGTAGTAGGTGGGCCCAGTGGGGTGATGGAACCCTCTCTTATGTGATAAGAAAAGTGGGTTATATGCACGTCCACCCAACTCTGCATTCAGGGGTATCATGCTGGTAGCTTGAAACCGGTCATAGTGCAGTACAAATTGGCAAACACTACAAATGAAGGCTTTTTCTCCTTGAAGAGCCAGTTGTTATATGTTTACTAGCACACTGCTGAGTGTGCTCTATGGGGCTTAGAATCTAGACAAATTCTAGTATATTTTTTCTGTCTAAGAAAACAGGTTCTTTTCTCTCCCAGCATTGATATAAACTCAACTTTGTGGTTTCCTGGGTGGATGAGGAAATTGATGGGGATGCAGAGAGGCTATGGAAAGTACGTTATAGTGGCATGCAGGGAACCGACAGTACTCTATATCCAGCATTAAGCCATCTACCTCCTATTCTTTGGCAAGTTACCGCCACCACCAAAGGAGGAAAAACACTTCCCCCACTCTCCTTTTCTCTTCCCCATTAAAGACGAGGAATAGCATAGAGATTCCTTTGCATGTTTATATATTAAAAGTAAAATCATCTATATTTTTATTTATTTTTATTGCTTAGCTCATGACTAACATTTGCTTTTTATAACACAGATAACTTATTGTACTTTGACCAACGTATTTGTTGCTAATGTTTTTGCTGCCCAGAATTTATATATACTCATGACAACAATATCCTGAGTTCCCACTCCATCCATATACTTTGGATGGGGTTGGCCTGCTTCTGACTCTGGGAGTAGACAGTACTCAGATCTGGCCAAAATCATGGTCATTGGCTAAGGAATGGGCAAGTAGCCAGTGAGGGGTCCCAAGATGCAGAGGCAGTTGCAGGACTGTTGAGAGAGAGGCATGCACTCTTCTCTACTGAATATCTCCCAGAATATAATCCAGGAGCTTCTAGGGTAGGGGGAAGATCTTACTCACAGAGTTTTGGTCCCTAGATCCAACAAAGCCTGTAGTCTTAATTACCTCTAGACTTGATAGGATAGCTACAGAGCTGTAAAACTTTTTTGGGGGTAGGGAGGGGGTTAAATTAGTTCACATACAACCAAAAGTCTTAACTGATAAAATACGTTTTACAATTTTGGTTGAGAGAATTAGTAATCTTTCCATAGAAATTAATGACAACTCTCCTGATACTATATGTTGATATTTTCAGTAAAAATAAACTATATGTGCTTATTTTTATAGTATTTTACTAAAATATTTATCCTAAAATATTTGCTTTACATTTGTATATAAAGATATATTTAACTAAAAATCTGTAAGCAGAATTTATCTCAAAAAGTCTCTAGAGCATTTTATGTAAGAACATTCTTCTTTGGCTCATCAACAATTTTCACTGTTTTCACCCTTTGTAAGGCTCCTCCTCGAATAGGCAGTTTTTTAAGAGCAATATCTGTATCAGCCAGAGGTCCTCCCACTAATCGGGCAGGAGTGCTTTCCAGCGTTACTACCCGACCAGAGGGCACCTAAAAAAGCAAAAGGTAAGTATCTCAGAGTCCATTTATAAAGTTTTTCAATAAGAGAAAAACCCATGTATCTTTCAGCTTACTTTGGAAAAAGATACGAAACATACATATAAGTAACTACGAGGCAGCATGGCATGATGGAAAGTAAAGGGCTTGGGAGCCAGGGAAATGGGTTTGGTTCTACTTCTACTTTTAGTGCTTATCAGCTTTGCAATCAGGGCCAAATTATGTCTAGAAGAAGACACCAGGAACACTAGAATCTGGCATGGACCTATTTGCCAGGCAGCAGAGACACTGTACATTTTTTTTTGCCAAAGAGATGTAGAGGTATATTCTAACTAGTGTTTGTAGCAGTTTCTTGAGAATGCTGGAGGGCTGAGTCTGGTCTAAACCAGCACTGGGCGAGGGCAGAGGTAACTTGGAGATAAGTACCTTAACTATGTGAAATTGGAGCAGCAAAAAGAAAAAATATGAGACAAAAATCCCATGGCAATAACATTCTTTGGGGACTAGATTCAATATCTGTTAAGAAAAGTTATGGAGGAAAAAATCTTACCGTTGTGTTAAGGCCTTTAATTTCTGTTTGGTGAAATATTGCATTTGGTGGTCGCTCATTGTATCTAGAGGATTCTATAGCTTTTTCCTGAAGTCTTTTTGCTTTCTGAATGTTTTTAAATAAGAAAATAAGATTACTATTAAAGCATTAACTATGGTACTTATAATGAAGTATATGTCTGGCTTATTGTTTGACTGTTTGTTAGTTAGCACTGGAATCTGCATTTACTCATTTAGGCTAAGAAGACAGTTTTTAGCAAATTATATCTTTTGTACAGTGCAGAAGACACCAGTCACCTGAGATTTCCAGAGGCACTGGTCACATATGACCAAGAATAAAGCAAGCTGGAGGAAAGCAGGTTCAATATTTAACACATGATAGAATAGGCTACTGAATTTACATCAGGTGATGCATGTTTTCAAAGCATTTTGTGTAAATTAAATACTAACTCAGTATACTTAAATGTTTCAAACATTTAGAATAATATATATTACCTAATTTGTTGCAGTCATATTCAAGCTCAATATTTGAGGCACTATAACAGGTAAATTTCAGGTAACCAAAGATCTGCATGGAAGGGGATGATTTTCATGAACTATTCCTTAAAACTACAGGTACTTAGGAGAATATTTTATAAATAATGGGTAAGAACTTTCAGTGAGAAGGGGAAGACACAGTACTTTGAATCAGCATGTCCTTAGCTTCGGTTTTGCTATCTTAATGTGGTTCCACTATTTTCGTAGACTAATGTAACATTAAACAATTTTATATTTACAAGAAGATTTATAATATGTAAAAGTGTATTTGAAGTATTAATGGAAAAGTTGGAAAAAAGTAATAAGATTTTGGAAATCCATGATGCTTCTCACATATCTCAAGTGAACAAGTGACATTATAGAATTTTTAGTTTCTAGTTTATAGCTGAAGCACCTTATCACATTTTTCCAAAGGAGTGATTATCCCAAACTCCCATTTAAACTTTAACATAATGTTTCTTTTGGTGGTCACAGACGGGAAACATCCTTGGGGGAGAGAATAATACGGACAATTGTTTTTTCTGTCCTTTACTCTGCTTCTTACAGAACATATCAATGAATTTCTTGGCTGGCTAACTATCATCTCCTTCATGCAAACCAGAAACAGCACCTTTGTTTCCCACAGCTACACCAAATAAAATTCAGTGGCCTCTTCTGAAAATTTGTAATTTCAATTACATTCTAAATTGCATATAAAGATCTAATAGTGTTAGTGTTCTACCGAAAGATCAACAGAAAAAGGAGAATATTTCTGAAAAAGTCTGTCAGATTTGGCTATTTGTTGTAGATATCATAATATTTCAAAAATCCTACCTTTAAAGTTTTAGCATTTGATGTTCTAGCCAAGAAATTTTCCCATGACTTATTAGCCAAATCTCTCTGCTTGTGTGTGGCTTGTATCTGAAATGAGAATGATAATTAAGAGTTCCAGTTTCAATGAAAGGACACAAAAGGGCCAGAAAGCCCTTATTTTGAAGGAAGATCTAGTTTTTGCCAAGATAAATTTTAAGGTTGACTAGCAAAAGGATTAGAGTAATCATAAAGTTCAACAACTTAAATTACTTAAGTATTACAATGGAAAAAAAATCCTTCCATCATTATGTGTCTAAGGTTTGAACTGCTTTCCATGAAATATAATGCACAACTGTTGTTATAAAAAATATAAAAATAACAACAATCATTCTCAGCAAGGCTGATTGTTTTACATGATTATCACTTGTGAAGACAGATAATAATCCAGGACAAAATATGTAAGTGACCCAACAGCAAATTCATAGGAGAAAAGAGATTCCCGCTGCCCTGATAATAGTTTAAGCAAGATTATATTGGTGAAACTATGTCTAACTTATGACTACTGCAAGAGAAGCAATTTTGTGAGAGTGCCGAGTTTGTTGTGGTGATGTAGTCTAGGGAGGTAACTACTAACAAACTGCAAAGACTAAACTTCTCAACAGGCTCTCCACTAAATATATAATCAGAGGATACATTCCCTTGGTTGGTGTAAAATATACTATTAAGTTTAATTACGAATGTAAGAGTATTTAATTAAATATTTGACTGCTAAAAACCAAGTGAGGTCAGAGCTATGATGACAAATCAACACTAGCTAGTCCACACAGCAGACATTCCGCCATTCAACAGAACTCGAGGCAGTAAAACTTCCGATAGGGCTAACCCCACTTAAGAGCAAATAAATGGATTAACTGGCAGCATCTATGCAATAAAAACTTAAACAAAATTTCCAAGCAAGAAAGTGCAGAATTTAAGATGGAGCAGAATTCACAGGTGGGTGCAGATGGAGTTCCGCCAGGCTGAAGATATAAACGTTCTAGTCTATGTGGAAACAGCAGGCAATAGAAAACACTTTGGAAATCACCTTAAAGGATTTTAAACATTTAATTGTAGTCATAAAGGATCACCAGGCCTAAGTGGGAAATCTATATCATCTTTGTGTCTGTGGACAAGTTAATTTAAATAGTCACTTAACCTTTTCTTAAAGCTTTACACAGGTGGAAGCTTCTGATGTGTCAGTTTTCCACCTGTGTAAAGCTTTAAGAAAATGGCTTATATTATTCTGACAGGTTTTTTTCTGATTAGCTAATGTTGGAGGCCAGTTTATCTCTGGATTTATAGAAACCTCATAGTAGGTGTCTTAGCACTGAGGTGAGGATGAAGCTTATCGATATGCCTATGGTTGGCTTACTAGTAAGGGCTTATAACAGAGTAAGGGATGAGAGCCAGCTTTCTCATTGAGGTGATTTATATCTATAGCCACAGAGATATACTATCAGAATTTGCTAAATGTATACATTTAAATAGCTCACAATTTTTGGAACATATTTCAAAAAATGGAAGTGTCTCAGGTGTCTACTTTTTAAAATGTAAGCCTGTAGAAATAAAATCGTAATGCCACAAAATAGCATTGAATGTGTAATTGAATATCAAGCTCTTAACTCCATGGTGTCTTTAAAAAGTGTGTGAAGACACCAAAAGTAACTGCAAGAAAACTACAAAATAACTCTTAAGTGCTGAAACATTTACAAGGAAGGCAAATATAGCCTATGGATAACTTCAACTAATTTAAGCAATGAAATAATTATCGTGTGCTTCAGTGCTTTTTGTGGCTTACTTTTGCGTATACTCTTTGTTCATTTTGTACATCTTGGCGTGCTTGGCTTTCAATCATCTCGCTTTGCAGAGAAGCAACCATTTTTCCAATATTTTCTGATGCTGTTGTAATAGCTTCCAAAATATTTTTATCTGTAGTGACTGGTCTTAACTTTTCTAATTTTATTTCTTCATATATTTCATTCCATATTTCTCCAATCTATTATAACAAAGTTTAAGTTTAAAAAAGTTAAATGAACTGAAAATAAATGATACAATTCTAGGTAATACTTTAACACTTACTGGACCAGCTTTTCCTAACTTACACTTAGGAATAAGTGAAATGCACTGGGAATGACTTGGAGCACCAGTTATATCTGAGTATTCAGAAGTAGTTTACCAAATGTTTTTCAATGACAAAGTAGTCATGGATGAGGCTCCACTACCCAAGTCTAGTTCAATGCCATCATCACTGCCCTCTGGTTTAAAGTCATTGCTTTCATAGCTGCAGAAACTGCTGCTTTTGTCTTATCCTCTTGAACTACGGATGCTTTCCTTCTTAAAGCTCTGTACTGAAGGCTGGGTCAGGCTGAATTTATAGAACAATGAACATGGGAATTCCTGGGACCCTAGAACCCAGCTACCCTGAGAAATAGGGCTCTGCCCCTCACCTTCTACCTAAGACAATAATTGAAAATCAAGCTCTTAACACTATAGTTCCATCATGCTGATAGCTCCATCTCATATTCTGGGTTGTCTGGAAATTAATGTGCTTGAGTATGTTTAAATTTAGAGAAAAATTTATATATCCTAGATAGGGATAAAATTCAGTCTTGTTTTCATTTGAAAATAGAGGTTTATCATTTACAACATTCAAATAAACAGTGTACTAATATTAGAAGAAAATGTTTACTTGAAAAGACTTTCCTGAAACTTTAAAAGCATTTATTTACCAAAAATATAACCAGCAATGTAAGCAAACTAATATCCTTTAATTGATATTTCATCATTATATAAAGTAATGGTAAAATAATTAATATTAATAATTTATTTTAATTGGCAATAATTCAATTACTTCTAGCTCCTAATGCTCTATAAAGAGAAGACATTATATTTTAAACATTTAGTTAGACTTCTGAATAACTCTGTCAGTAATATCCATCTTCTTTTATAAACTAATAGTTGGAAGAAATCTTATCTGAAGGAAAACACACAATCAATTCATTGTATATTTTCTGAATAGTACCAGATACAAAATGGAAAATAAAAATAACACAGTACAGGATGACTGCTCACAACTATGAACAGAACTTTTATTTCCCAGTTGACTTTTTGCCATACTAGATTTTAATAACAAGGTTAAAAGGTACTCACTTTAAAATCAAGGTATCTATGTATGATACAGAGGGTGACAAAATCTTCAGCAGATAGGCCAGGTAAATTTTCAAAATCTAAACAAATTTTACAAAGAGAGAATTACTTTAACAGAACAAGTGATTCCAATAGGCAAATATCTATCATAAAAACAAATAAACAGTTACTTTTGATTTCATCTTGCTTTATGAAAATGTTACTTCTATGAGCTTTTGACTTTTTTCCTGTAACAAACCTCTTCCAGGCCATCCTTAACCAGTCATTAAAGAGGAATACTTTCTGTGCTATGGATAGACCATATTGTATTTTCAGAACCTAACGAGTGAAGACTTTTTCCTTAATAAGAACAAGGACTTAGGAAAACTCAGGTGCTTCAGAATTCTAGTGTTTAAACCTACTCATCTAAACTAACTGCCTTTAATCCTGAATGCACACTGGAATTGCCTGGGGAGATATAAAAAAATACTGATACCTAGATCCCACACCCACTGATTTACTTGATCAGGGGAGTAGCCTGGGCATTGGGATAACGATGGAACATGCATTTATCTGTATAAAGGGACTTTGGTTCATCATGTTTGAAAAGTGGACTCCAAAGCAAAAGCAACTCACATATGAAGCAATCAGAGAAACTCTTGTGAATTTGACGAGTAGCTTCTTACCTAGTTTGCCCAACACAGCATAAATTTTTGCTCTGATGTTTTCAGCAACATCCATAACTGCGACAGTTGGGCAGTCAGCAGGCAGTGGCATGATATTTTGCTCTTCTTGAAAACTAGTAAATAGAGGTTTCTTTGTATCTAATCATTAGATAGGAAAAAAATATATAGAAGGAACAGATAAAAACTGTACTAAATAAAAATTTAATTTTGAGATTTTAGTCTAGACATTATAAAATATATAAAAATATTATAACAGAGTAAAATAGTGCCTTGTAGATGGTTATTCTTTTGAAGGCATAGTAATCTGTGATTTCGTCCCCCATTTTGTGGCAAAACATATAGCTTTCATTTTTATCATTTATGTAAAATATAAAAATTTCAAAAAATTACTTTTTAAAATGTGAAACTCTTTTGTAAGCAACTTTTCTAATTTTGAAATCCAGAAATCGAACAATGTCAGTTAAACAATGATGTAATCTCCTTTGCTTTTGTTTCTATATATTATACTATAAATATAAAAACTTTTATGTTATAGGTCAAAACTGAGAAATAATTGGATTGAAGACAGAAATCATCTGAAGTTAAAGGGAAGATATTTTCATTTAAAAATAAATAATATTAACAGTATAGATGAAACCATAATAAGAATCTTAAGAGGTTTAGAAAATATAATGTAGCATTGTAGAATAGATAAGTGAACTATAGATTCTGATATTGTAAACTTCATTAATTTAGGATCTAGTAATTAAAATTTATGAAACATCTGATTTATTTTTGTTTAGAAAAGTTTATTTTATATAAAATAAATTATATAAATATGAATCAATAGAAATGTACAAAATACAATAAAAATTGTTTATTACTGAATTTATTTCTAAAAGCAGGTAATTTTAGTACTACTGTTAGTTTTTTTTCAAGTTAGAGCATATAATCAAAGGCTTCTGGTCAAGATGGTGGAGTAGGGAACATTGTGCTCACCTCCTCCCATGATCACATCAAAATTACAACTAAACTACAGAACCACCATAATTGAGAATCTCCTGAAGTCTAGCTGAACAGAAGTCCTACAACTAAGGACATACAAAAGAAGCCATGTTGAAATTAATAGGAGGAAAGGAGATGCAGAATGGGCTGGTCCCACACCCACATGCGGCAGTTAAAAATTGGGAGGGATACCTTGGCTGTAGAGGTCCCTCCTGAAGAGCAAGGGGTCCCAGCCCACACCAAGCTCTACAGCCTGGGGTTCCAGTGCTGGGAAGAGAGGTCCTCACAACTTCTGGCTGTGAAAACCAGCAGATATTGTTCCTGAGTGAGAGGGAGGGCCGCTGGAGTACCAGGTGTTCCACTTAAAGGTCCCATGCATGGACTTACTCGCTGAGCTCCAGCACTGGGGCAGCAGCTCAAAAGGCAGCAAGGACATATGGGGAGGCACTGAATTGTCTGGCTTCAGGGTGAGGGCTAGAAGGGCAGCTTTACCCTAGACAGAACTGCTGGTAGAAGCCATTGTTCCTTTGCTGAGCCCTCCCTCGACCCAGCTTGCAGATGCCATATCTGAGTCTCCATCAACCTAGCTAACAAGGTTCAGCCACCTTGGTGAATCTGAGATCCTGTGCAACCCAGTTTAGGGGCCCACCCAAGATACTTCCAGTGGCTTTTCCACACAAACAGCCTGTCTTGGCTCATCTGTGGACTTTTCTGAAATCTCTCAAAGGTTATTCCATTTCTGGGTATTTATATGAAGAAACCCAAAATACTACTTCCAAAAGAGATTCATCCATATGTTCACTGCAGCATTACTTACATTAGCCAAGATATGGAGGCAACCTAAGTGTCCATCAATAGATGAATGGATAAAGAAGTGAGACATATATACAATGGAATATTACTCAGCCACAGAAAAGAATGAAATCTTGCGACCTGCAACAACATGGATGGACCTAGAGGGTATTACGCTAAGTGAAATAAATTAAGGAAAGACAAAGTAGCATATGATTTCACTTATATGTGGAATTTAAAAAACAAAATAAATGAACAAACAAAACAAAATCATTCAGAGAACATTTTGATGGTTGCCAGATGGGAGGGTGGTTAGGAGGTTGGGTGAAAAAGGGGAAGGGATAAAGCAGTACAAATTGGTAGGTGCAAAATTATCATGGGATGTAAAGTGTAGCATAGAGAATAGTCAACAATATTATAATAACTATGCATGGTGCCAGATGGGTATTAGATTTATTGGCATGATCACTTTGTTAAGTTTTATTAGTGTCTAGTCACTATGTTGTATACCCAAAACTAATATAATATGGTATGTCACCTATAATTGAAAAATAAAAAATATTGAAAAGAATATCGTCAAATACCATTTCCTGAAAATTTCTATAAAAATATCAACCTGCTGCTTATTTTGTCAGTTTTCTTCTCATTATGCAGAATTTACAATAGCAAAATCTGCAAACTCCTGTGAAAAGAACTTTAAACAAAGGTGTAAAAGTCTTCATATTTTCCTAATATCTTTTAAAGATCTTTTTAAAAATATGCATCTAATTGCTTCTACTAACAATAACAAATACTCACCAATGATCTTCCCATGCTTATCACGTTTTACTCCAAGTTCTTTTTCTTCCTTTCTCCACAATTTAATTAAAAGACTAGCAGCTGTCTGGTCCTTCTTCCCTCGCCAAGAATTGACATGAACCGTAGTTTTGGGATTATCGCAAAATTCAACCATTATTCCAAGTATTAAATTACAGAATTTTTTTTGGTTCAACTTTTGCAAGGAAACAGAAAAAGCAAAAAGTTGCAGTAAATATTAGAACTATTACCTTAAAAAAAAAGGAAAAACATTCCTATTAATCAGTAGGTTTCTTCTAAATAATTGCTTTACAAAATTCAAACTCTAATTATGATTTATGATAACCTGTTAATATAGATACCCATTGTTATGAATACACTTTCAAACATTAGGAATTAAAAAGAATAAAAGATTCAATATAATTTTGACATAGTCATAAACATACATCACAAACAAAAATGTAATTGATTTGGTTGACTAGGAAAAGGGAGAGTGTAAAAAATAAGTGAAGATGTTTAAGTGGAGCAAGTTCAACAGTACTATGCATAAGTCACTGTAATTACAGGATCTTTCTAATTTACATGCTTTATTAAGGTTTGTAAAGATAGCTGTAACCTACCTGTTACTAAGAGAATAACTGATGGTAATATCAAATGGCAGTCACATATGACAATAAATAAAAATGAGGTATAATTTTGTATTTTGAACATCAGCACCTATAAGACTAAGAATCTAAGAAAAATCAAGCATATTTTCTTTGTTTTGCTAAAACTAGTTTTCAGCAAACCAAAATGTAGGTAGAGAGAAGTCCATCCAGAACAATGGCCTCCACATGGGGATGGTTTCTGTTGGAAATATTTTTTGTTGATCAACTCTTATAGTATATGGCTAATAGAATACAGCAAAAGAAACAGGTAACCTGTTGTTTGAATTACAAACATTATCAGTTTCTTCTTTTATTAAATGAAGGATAATAATATTACCTGCTTTAGAGAGTTATTATGATGGGTTATATGAGACTGTTACATAATAAGCTATCAATAATATTTAACCACTATTAGCAATTATTATCAACGTACATTGAATAAATATTTTAGCAGATTATATTAAGCAGAACTCAAATCAAATGAGTTATTTTTATACTTTCAGGAGAAAGAGAAAAATGTAAAGGATTGAAGTCGGTATAAAAACTTCATTAAAGAATGTTTATAATTAACTTGAATGGTTCAATCCACATTAAGCACAATCTAAGACTTATATTCATAATAACAGAAAACACATAGCAAAAATATGCATCAGGAACTTTTCTAACTAATGCATGCAAGTGTATATATATATCATATGCATACGTGCACATGCACACATACAATCACCTATATAATCGTCCCAGGAATGCATGAGGTAAATACTGTTATCTCTTTTTGAAGAAGTTGATAACAGAGATGTTATATAACTTGTTCAAATTACACAGCTAACAAGTATTGGAGGCCTCAGTCAGACCGATTCTAGCCTATACTTGTAATCACTGTGCCTATATGGCTTCTCCTACTCCAGACTTGTCTTTCCATCAAAGAAATCCTGATGGTGAAGGAGAGTGCACACAATGAGAAATGTCTTTGCAGTCTTCCATATAATCTTAAATATTAAATATTTAATATATACATGTTTAATGTAACTCCTTACTTCCAAGTCTTTAAGTAAAAGCAAGGTTCCCGGAAGATGTGCCAAATTAATTCTGTGACTTTGAGAATCCCCTGACACATAACTGTGTGCCTCTGGGCACACTTGTACTCTAGTCATAGAAACACAGTGAGCTATGCATCATTCAGGACGATATTAGTAAAGCTACATGTACGGCCTTCTGTATTATGGTCAACTTCTGAACTTTCCAAGTGTTTCTGGTTATGATCCATTCCTGTTTATCGAGGTGGGTTATTTTTATTACTACTATTATTATTTACTTATTTTTGTTTGCAGTGTTTTATATCTTATGAGTTTGCTCTCTTATCGCTAGTGTCAACAAATTTTCTTTCAGAGAAAAGGAAGGACACAAATAACTTTAGTCCCTTTGCTAAACCAAAGTAGGTTATTCTGTTAAAAAAAAATCAAGAATGGTGGCAGTCAGTGCCCTGCTAGAACTCTGCAAGAATATCTTCCAAAGTTTTATTGAAACAAAATTATACCTTTTCTCAGACATCATCTTGACTACGGACTCCCTTAGAACTGAGGCCAGTAGGGGGTTACTTTGAGGATCAAATGAGGATCTTTGTCATTTTTTGCAGCTGCTAGATGGCAGCCATCTTTTCTGGAAGGCTTAGTATGCTCACTCCTGCCCATTCTGTAAAATGGTCCATGACACACTAGGTTTTTCACATTGACTACAAAGTTCTTAACTATACAGTTCTTTTCTCCTTTGTCTAATGTGGCCCTTAACTTTTAATACTAACAGAAGGAACAAGATGTTATTAATAAGTGATTAAGGGTTTTGATATAGCCTAGCACTTCACAAAGGTTGGTGGAAAAAAAAAAAACCCTTAAAAATTCTCTGTTGTCATATGTTTGGGAACGCTGACCCAAATAAACTGATTTCTTCAGAGCCTTTAATATGCCATTGCATATTATAAATCTCTAATAGGGATTTTGATTAAAACAAACATTGAATGATTTGGGGGCACATTTAATCATAGAATAATGTTCTGTGGTACTCAGTTTGGAAAGGGTTAATACATTTATTTTGTTGTTTTATAATTGTTATAATCATACTTACTGCCAATAAATCCAAAAGAAGAAAAATGCCTTCCTTTTCAAGAAAGTAATCCTCTGAGGGATAACATCCCAAAATGCAACACCTTAAATAAAAAGAAAGTTATTCATTTAACAAAGATTTATGGTTAAACTCAATTTGAGTTTATTCCTATCAAAATTTTTTCAAAGAATTTTTCATTTCCTTAAATCAAGTAGTATTTTTACTTAAAAAATTGAACTTTGAGGAGACTTAGATAGTGTTGTTTAATTTCGACTATTTTAAAACCAATATCAATTGATTCTTTTTTCTATTTCTTTTCTGTAGATGCAATATCTCCCTTTGCTTTCACAACATTAATTATTCTTCTGGTTATTCTAGAATCATTTCTTCAAGGCTTATCCATTTATTGTCTCAGTGTTGGTATGCCTCAAACATTTGATTTTTAATTACTTCTTATCTTTGCAGTTGAGATTATTTGCTAAAGTGCCTGCTGTTTAGGCCTGTGCAACTCACATGGAGTGAGGGACTGAAGTTGCTACCAGGGCTACTTTCAGTGTTTTCTTGGGTACGGAATGGGTATCGGCTAAACAAGCTGTTGCTGCGGCTGCTGCTGCTGCTAAATAGTAAAGAGGTTGATCTCCTCTATTTCTCCCAGGCATTCTAAGCCTGCTGGGGTCAACTTCCTGTGTCTCTTTCATATTTAACATGGCTATTACTTAATTATCTGTGGTTCAACAATAATATGGTAATTATTTAACATGAATTCCTCTTGGAAAAAAAAAGAGACCCTTGTTTCTGCTGCCTGTTTTGTGATAGTTGTGTGTGGTGGTGGGAGTTGGGGTGGTGGTGCATAAAGACCATCAGGCTGGCCCCTCCCATTCAAGTGGCTGCAGGTTTTACCATCTCTAGGTATGAACTGTGCTTTTTGTTCCCACTTATGAGGTAATACTCTGACACTGTTTTTTTACCTCATAAATTCACAACAATCACTGTAAGAGAAAAAACAGAACATTCTCGTTTGTTCAGGAATTAAACAATATACTTCTAAATCTCTCAAAGGTCAAAAAGAAAATCACAATGAAAATTTGAAAATAATTTGAACTTAATGATAATAAAAATAGGACATACTGAAACCTGTGGCTTAGAGCTAAAACTATGATTAGAGGAGAATTTATAACCTTATATGAATATATTAGAGCAGAAGGTTGAAATTTAAGATCCTGTCATCTATTTCAAGAAATAGAAAAGGTAAAACTGAATGAAAGAAAAAGAAATTAATGAAATATAAAACAAGATAAAATAGAATCACTCAAGCACACAAATGGATTCTTTAAAAAGACTAATAATATTCCTTAATTCCTGGTGAACACATCAAAGGAAAAAAATAGAGAAGGAAGAAATGACTAATACCAGGAAAGAAAAAAAAGGGTACCACTTCGTATCCTACAGACATTAAAGATACGAAGAGTATATTACAACCACATGACAGTAAATTTGAAAATTTAGATAAGATAAATTCCTATTAGAATACATCTTATTAGAACCTACAAAAGGAGAAATAGAACATCTTAATAGATATGTATATATTTATATTCAAGAAATAAAATCTATATTTCAGAACCTTTCTAAAAGTAAACTCTAGGCACAGATGACTTAATTGTTAAATTCCACTCATTATTTAAAAAAGATATAACAACGGTCTCACAAAAACTTTCTATAGAATATAAAAGAATATTTCCTAACTTGTTTTATTACATCAACATAAACTAGATACTAGAATTTACCTTGGTTTAAGTCCTTAAGAAGAAGAAAAACAACAAATGCCTGGGATCATCAATTGAACACTGAACTTATTACTTGTTATTTCTACCTTATTATCCAAAGGGATTTGAATTTGTATTATAATAAAAGACAGGTAAATAAAACCAAAACTATAAGATAAAAATTTGATTTTTATCTTAGTATAATTGTGATTTACTAAATAAAGGAGAAATAAAACCTCACAATATTTTCTGCAGTAACTTCTGAATCCCAATATATTGGTATAGTAAGAGTGGTACTCAACACTCAGCTTTGAATTTTTTACTATGCTTAATACAGTGCTTTTTGGTCAATAAGAATTTGCTATTGAAACTTAAGATCAGGTTTACATGTTATCACTATATCACTCTTTTCTGTATAATAATAATAATAATAATAATAATAAAAACTAGATAGCTGATTAGCCCCATTGCCTATGTGTATCTATCTAGATGAGAGCTGAGTAGTCCAGCTCTCAACATAAACAGTGAATTTGCAATGGGTAAAACTAGTTATTTGATCTTATGGAAAATAGTATTCATCAGAGTTTTTTCCCCCCAGCTTATTTAGGTATAACTGGAAGACAAAAATCTGCATACAATTAATGTGTACAATTTGGTAAGTTTGGACACATGTATGTATTTATGTTACTATCACCACAATCCAGGAGATAAAAATAGCATCTCTAAAAGTTTCTTTACATCTGTGTTTTGTGTGTGTTTTTTTAAGATCACTTAACATGAGATCCACCTATTTAACAAATTGTTACTTACACAATACTGTCACTTATAGGCACTATGCTGTACAGTAGATCTATAAGCCCTATATTGTGTAGCAAATCTCTGGAATTTACTAATAATTGTAACTTTATACCCATTGGACAACTGATACCTCTTACTCCATCATTCCACTGTCCATACACCGTTGTCTACTTCTATAATTTTGAGTATTTTAGAGAAATCATGTATAAGAGATATCCTTCTGTGAATGAATTATTTCATTTAGCATGTCTTGCAGGTCCATCCATGTTACTGCAAATGGTAGAGTTTCCTTATTTTTAAAGGCTGAGTAATATTCTACATGTATATATCACATTTTTATCCATTCATCTGTTGATGGACATTTGGGTTGTTTCCATATCTTGGCCATGTGAATAATGCTGCTAAGAACATAAGGCAGTTGTCTCTTCAAGATCCTGATTTCAATCCTTTGAGACAAATATCCAGAAGTGGAACTGCTGGATCATATGGTAGTACTTTTTTGAAGAATCTCCATATTGTTTTCTACAGTGGTTATACCATTTTACATTCCCACCAATAGTGTAAGGTTCCCTTTTCTCCACAACCTTGTCAACATTTGTATCTTTTCTTTTGTTTGAAAATAACCATTCCAACAGGTGTGAGGTGATATCTCACTGTAGTTTTATTTGGATTGCCCTGAAGATTAGTGGTTCCATATGAGTTTTTGAATTGTATTTTCTATTTCTGTAAAAAAATATCTTTAGGATTTTAATAGGGACTACATTGAATCTAAAAATAACTTTGGGTAGTATGAAAATTTAAACATTAACTCTTCTAACCCATGAACACAAGAAGTCTTTCCATTTATTTGTGTCTGCTTTACTTGGTTTTATTTATCTGTGTCTTATAATACAACTTCAAATCCCTTTGGATAACAGATAAGGTAGAAATAACAAATAAGTAATAAATAAGTTCAGTGTTCAATTGGTGATACCAGGCATCTGTTCTTATGCCGCTTCATCAATGTTTTAAAGTTTACAACTATACATACAAGTACTCAGTTATGTTTATTCATAAGTTTTAATATTTTTTGGTATTGTCGCAAATGTGATTTTCTTAATTTCCTTTTTGGATAGTTCATTATTAGTGTGTGGAAATGCAACTGATTTTTGTATGTTGATTTCATATCCTGCAACTTTACTGAATTCATTTATTATAAATTTATTATACCAGTTTTTTTGGTGCAGTCTTTAGGTTTTTCTACATATAAGGTCATGTCATCTGCAAACAGATAATTTTACTTCTTCATTTCTGATTTGGATGTCTTATATGCTAGGAGTGACAGTAACATGTTGAAAAGAACTGGTGAGAGTGGACAGCTTTGCTTTGTTACAGATTTTAAAGAAAAAGGTTTCAAGATTTCAGCTTTCATACTGAGTGTGATGTTAACTGTGAGCTTTTCATATATGGGCTTTATTTGTTGAAGTAGCTCCTTGTCTACCTATGTTGAGAGTTTTTATCATGAAAGGGTGTTGAATTTTTTCAAAAGCTCTTTCTGTATCTATTGAGATGATTATGTGATTTTTCTTTTATTTTGTTAATGTGGTGTAGGACACTGATTAACTTGCATATATTAAACCATTCATGGATCTCAGGGATAAATCCCACTTGGTCACGGTGTACGATCCTTTTAGTGGGACGTTGAATTTTGTTTGCTAATATTTCTTGAGGATTTTTGCATCCATGTTCATCAGGGATATCGTTCTGTAGATTTCTCATTGTGTCTTTGGCTTTGGTATAACAGTGATGCTGTCTCTCATAAATGAATTTGGAAGTGTTTCCTCTTCTACTTTTTGGAAGAGCTTAAAAAAGAATTAGTATTAATTATTTACGTTTTTGGAAAATTTACCAGTGAAGCTATCTGGTCCCAGGCTTTTTTTGTTGGGAGGTTTTGATTGATTTAATTTCCCTATTGTTATTGGTCTATTTAGGCTTTCTATTTCTTCTTAATTAGTCTTGATGGGTTGTATGTTTCTAGGAATTTATCCATTTCTTCTATGTTGTCCAATATGCTGGCATATAGTTATTTATAATAGTCCTTTAAAATCTTTTTTTTGGTGGCATTTGCTGTGATGTCTTCTCTTTTATTTACAATTTTCTTTGAATCTCCTTTTTTTCCTTAGTCTAGCTAAAGGTTTGCTGATTTTATCTTTTAAAAAAAAAACAACTTTTAGTTTTGTTGATTTTTTTTCTATTACCTATTTCATTTATCTGCTCTCATATTTATTATTTACTTTCTTCTGCTAATTTGGGCTTAGTTTGTTCTTTGTTTTCTAGTTCCTTAAGGTGTAAAGTTAAGTCATTTGATATAGGCATTTATCACTGTAAATTTTCCTCTTACTACTGCTTTTGCTGTATTATGTAAATTTTGGTATGTTGTATTTTCAATTTAGTTTTCTTGAAATATTTTCTAATTCCTCTTTTGTTTTTGTCTTTGATGCAATGGTTGTTTCAACCATTTGTTGTTTAGTTTCCATTAATTTCTGAGTTTTCCTGATTTCCTTTTGTTATTGATTTTTAGTTTTATTCCACTGTGATCAGAAAAGATATTTTGAATGAAAGATATATTTCCTTAAATTTGCTGAGACTTGTTTTGTGACCAGGCATGTGATCTATCCTACAAATATTGCATGTGTGCTTGTAAAAAAACCTCTGCGTCTCCTCTCAACACTCTTCTTTCAATAGTTCACTTTTGGCCACCAAAAGTGTGAGTTTTTTCCCATACCAACTAATTCTCCAATTCTCTGCAGACACTATTTGGGTGTCCTACAATTCAGTTCAATTCTGACACTGCCTACCTAGAATTATCATCATATTTCACAGGTGAAGGACTCAGTCCCATAAGTCTGCACTGCCTCCCTGACCCCACTTTAGACACCAGTCCAAGTTGTCACCTGTGCTTCTGACCAACCAGCCGTAAAGCAGATGTTCCATCTTTCCTGGGGATGGAAAATTTGTTACAGAGGCTCACAGAACTAAGAACAGTGTACTTACTAGATTAATGGTTAATTATAAAAGCATACAACCTGGGAACAGCCAGATGAAAGAGATGCATAGGGCAAGATATGAGAGAAGGGGAATGAAGCTTCCATGCCCTCTCTCAGAACCCCCATGTGTTCGCCAACTCGGAAGCTCTCTCAACTCAAAGTTTAGAATTTTTATGAAGGCTTCCTTATGGAGGCATGATTAATTAAATAATTGGCCACTAATGACTAATCTCAATCTCTAGCCTCTCTCCCCTCCATAGAGGTTGAGGGTGGGGGTGAAAAGTGTCAACTCTCTAATCAATCATATGGTTGGTTCCCCTGGAAACCAGACTTCATTCTGTGGTTATCTAGTAGTTTTCCAAAAATCGCCTTATTAACATAAACTCAGATTTGGTTGAAAGGGACTTGTTATGAATAACAAAAGATGCTAATGTTTATTAGTCTAGAGCTATTATAGGAACTGAGAATAAAAGACCAACTATTATAACAAAAGATGTTCCCATTGCTCTTATTGACTAAAAAATTAAGAGTTTTAAGAACTCTGTTCTAGAAATGGACCAAATATATATTTCTTATTATAAATCATAGTATCACAGCACTTGAAAAGGATATGTATTCTGCTGCTATTGGGTGGAATGTTCTATATATAATATATACCTGTTAGGTCCATTTGATGTATAGTCATCAGTTTTTTTTTACAAATGTGTTGCAATGTAACTTTCATGAATACTACCTAAATAGAACTAGAGAAATGTATGAAGTGTTAATGATATGCAAGACCCAAGTAATTTTCTCCAAAACAAATTTTTGTAAACTGATATTAAGTATAGCAATATTTTTTGCCCTTAGGAAAGCTACAAAGTTTGGGAAACAATATTGGTTAGGAAATTCCAAATCAATTGGTTTTCAACTCCTTGAAGAGAAGATGAGTTAGGAATTCAACAGTCTTCAAGTATACGAAGAACAGTGTATGAGTAATAATAGATGCTAGTGTTTACTCAGATTGGGCCATAATAGAATGGGTTAAAATCACAAAGTCAGGAATTTAAGTTTAGATACAAGAATGGTTTTATATTTGAGTGACGGTCAAGATTATCTTCCAAAAGACATTAGTAAGGTCATTTCTGGACTATTAAAAAGAAAAAGGCATTGAGAGAGTTATCTTTCTGGTGTGATTTTGAGGGGAAAAAATTGGCATACATAGCTATGAAGTAATTTTCTCGTACCATGATTCTATCTACCTTGGGTATAGTAATACTCACCAAATGCTGTCCAATGTGCTAAAAAGAAGTACAATATAGCCTAATCCACTCTGAAACTTCTTGGGGTCTGTTTTCAATACATGAAGAATTACATCCACTCCTTCAGTTCCAAAAATTTCCTAAGAGATTTATTTAAAATTATTTCTTGAAATAAATAATCTCTCCCTTTCCCATTTCATTCTGTCCCCTAAATTTTTTTTTTCACCAGAAAAATACAACATTGTTAGGAAAATAGTATTTTTTAATGCAATCCTTTCCCCCCGAATTTGTACTTACTCGCTTTCAGGAATATAAGACAAACTGTTGTAAAGCTAATCATTTTAAGAGAGGGCATCAATCAATAGGCCCTTTTGTTTTTTCCCTTTTCCCTCTCTTTTAGAAAAATAAACTGTAAGACTTGTCCCATGATTTTCTTCCATGGTATAATGAATATAGTCAATCATCATGTCAGATGACTACTAGGTACTAATAGTAGTAATAGGCTAAAATTCTATCATGGAAGATATTCTAACATTCCCAAAAGAGAAATAAATATATAAATGGTAGTTAAAACTTCAATAATTTATATGAAGTTATTACCAGTTAATATTTGTACCTTACCAATTACCTTTCTCATTGCCTTGTTGTTCAGTTCTAGTTCCCGGTAAGCAAGACTCTGAGTACTTTTCCAGAAGAGCATAGGCACAGAGTCGTAGAATAGAAGGCAAAGTTGCATCAAAGCCTGGAGCTAAGTGTACATTTACTGTTCCTGTTGCCACTCCCTAAAAGCCCTGGAACCTTCCTAACTTTTTACTTTTACCTTTCCAATTCTGTCTCTTGCTAGTTATCAATTTCTGAGACTCAGAGTTTGCTATGGAGTTAAAAAAAGATCAAGTGGAATTAGCTATTTTTCTAATTTTAGTTTTAGGTATGAATCCAATTCAAACCTAAAACAGCATTTATAATGGTATATAGCTCACTTGGGAAAACTGTTTGCCAGTTTCTTAAAAACATGCACCTATTTTATGATCCATCAGTTGCTAGGTATTTACCAAAGAGACATAAAAGTGTTATGTCCACAGAAAGACTAGTACAAGAATGTTCACTGATGCTTTTTACATAACAGCCCCATATGGAAACAATTTACATGTTTTTAACAGGGGAATGGAGAAACAAATTCTGGTATACTCATACAATGAAATACTATTCGGCAATAAAAAGCAGTGCACTGCTGATACATGCAACAACATGGATATGTTTCATGAGATACAATGCTGGATGACAGAAACCAGATATAAAAGAGTAACTACTATGATTCTATTAAAATAAAGTTAAAGAATAGGTAAAACAAATTTATGTGGATAGAAATCAGAATAGTGGTTTTCTGGAGGCAAGTTGGGGGATGGTTGCTAAGGGGCATAAAAGACTTTTATAGTGAGATAACAAAATTCTATATTTTAATTGGAGTATTAGTTAAATGAGTACATATTTGTTAAATCCTATTGAACTGTATACTTAAGATCTATACACTTACTGTATATAATTATATTCTAATTATAAAAAAGAATATTAAATTATTCTTCACAAGATTAAAGAACACCAATATTTACGGACAATTACTAAGAAAAAGTTCATAGTGTTGGGTGACTGGGAGATTTAAGTAAAACTTTGATTCACAGGCATACATACCTTCCTAGGAATATTATGTTCACAAAGACCAGATAAGATAAGTAATATATCAGATTGAATTTCCAAAACAATGGCCTCTTCCTTGTCATTAGACTTGCTTATTGTATTTTTAAAGATTCCTGGTATGAGAAAATTTAAAGAATGTAAAATTATTAGACACTATATTTTTATTTTGATCAATTACTGTTTTTAAAATCTCTTCTTATAAAATTTCACCTAGAGAAAGTTTTAAAAGTATCTATTTTCATTTCATAGTTGCTTAGAAGCTGTAGACAGAAAATGATAAATGGGTTCTTTGAGTTCTCAATAGCCCCATCTATGTAGAAGTTCTAGTACTTCTAGAGTGTCATTAAGACACACTAACAACCTGATACTTTGCTCAGTAAACAAAATCGTTTAAAAATATGTAGTTTTATGAGGCAGAAATGAGTGCTTTTGCAAATATGTGACCAAAATGCCTGATCATAGCTTGCCTCATGTCTTCTCCTCATGTGGAAGAGGAGGAAGAACTCCAAAGGTGGAAGACCTCGATAAGTATGTTTTCTATCCTTGATACTTCTTTCTGCATTCTCTCCTTCGGTCTATCTGGAGGTTTCTTTAACTGCAGGTAGCAGTATTCCCATGTCCTTTAAAATCTCTCCCTCACTTCTAATCGAAATTTAAAAAGACATGAAAACAGCCACTTACACTGATGGACTGACATCTACAATAAAATTTTGCCTCAAAAAGGAATTTTTCTTTAAGCTTTAAATGAAGAACGAAAGTCATTCTTCCTCTGTTAAAGGGGTCACTGGCATTAACAGAAGGTGTGGAGCTATGTTCCAAAGAAGGACCATGGAAATCACAGCCTATCTACGTTGTTGGCTCTGAAGGGATGATTCTTGGCCCTGTGAGGATGAAATACAGGTGGGGGATCGGACCATGGGAAGGCTAGTTGAGCATACTGGAGGCCCAGGTCAGGGGAGGCCATGGACAGAGGGGCCTATGTGCCTTATCAGGAGCATTTTCTAGGAATCCAAGCTGGTCTGCTTCTCCTTTCTAGATTGTCTCATTTTCCTTCCTAGCTGGGTACAGTCATGTCATCTCCCCTGCTGTAACACGTTACATTAATAGAGTTATTGTCTTTATATTTAAGTATCCTTTAGTTCCCCTGCCTTTACCCTCTCCTTGTTCTATTCTAAATGATCCAATATATTTCTTTCAGATTTCTCTTTCCAAAACAGCATTATTCATATAACTAGCTTCCCTGATCAAAAACCACGAGTAGTTCCCCATGCCTAAAGAGGATGAAGTTAAAACTATTACCTGCCATCCGAAACTGTTTCTTGGTTGGCCCCTGGCTAGACAATTAACCTTATCTTACATTATCTGTCTTCATAAGACTTTGACTCCAATTAAGCTAGCTCTGAACACATCGTCATGCATATTTCAGTACCATGTCTCTGCTCATGCTGTCCCTTTGCTTGAAAGACCATCCCTTTTTATTTCTCTCTTGAAACTAGCCCAATACTCTAACTCAGTAAAGTTTCCTGTTAAAATTGCCCAGCCTTGAAAACTATCCCAACCTTTTTGTTTCTATGGTGTTTATTCTATCACTCATTAGGTGCCTTACTGATGGTACATGGTAACACATGCTATCTTTCAAAAATAAACCTCTTTTCTTTTGTTCTCATTAAGGGCAAGGTCCCCAGTGTTCTGCTCTGCATGTGCTTGTAATCCCAGTGCCTACTCAAAAGGCATATAAACATCTACATTTACAATGCAATCACTATTTCTTGAGTACATTACTACTACAGAGCCCTCTGTTACATTTACAATGCAATCACTATTGAGTTGAGTACATTACTACTACAGAGCCCTCTGTTACATTCAATAAGAATTCATGCTATAGGTTTTCCCATTTTCCTACCCCACTTCCCACCCAGGTAACATTAAGAATTCTTCCTGGACATATGGAGAATTATATTTCCTGGACTCCACTTGGTTGGGCTGGGTGGCTTAAGATAGTTCTGTACAATGAAATGTGCACAGAAGTGAGAAAATCTACTTTTAGGTTTAGTCATCCCAAGCAAACTCATCAAAGAAGTGAATGTTTTTGCCTAGCCCTCTTTTCTACATCTTTATTTTGCTTACTAGTATTACTATTTGAGAGCACTACTCCACTTCACTAATGATGGAAGAGCAGGTACTTTAACTTAACAGGTAAAAGAGTGTTTGAGTAGGCATTTGTAATTAATTGATATCTAGCAAATTATATCACATACTCAGAAGGCAGTCACTGAATATGAATATGACTAAAATAGGTCTCACTTTTCAAAGTCAGAAAAGGGTAGGGCTGGAGAACTATTTTTTTTTTAATTAATGAAATGTAAAAAGCTTTTGTTTAGGGGTTCTGAATTTTACACTGAGCTCACGTGTGATATATTGTGGGGATAAGGTGACTTAGCGTAGTCAATTCTAAGTTGAAAACCAAGGATATCCTGATATTTCATATTAGGAAAGACTCTCTGGAGTACATTTCTGTATATACCAGTGTCAAGTGTTCTGGTATGTCAGATGCACTAGAAAATGCAATGTTATCTTCTTTTAAAATGACTCCAAAAGGCTTGGTCAGAAAGTGGTGATCTTGTTACTAGAAGAATGAAACATATACAATAGCCCATTAAAAAAAAAAAAAAGATAAAGATAATCCTAAATGAAATAGTACCTGAACCAAGAAAACAAATATTTAAAGGATGGGTGATCATGATGGTTCAGTGAAGAAACTGATTTATAGCAACAACAGGAAACAAGTCAAGAAAATATTCAGGAGTTTCTCAGCTATAAAAACAAAATAAATTTGTAGAAAAACATTTCATACAAAATCTATGGTTTATAAATATTCTACTTTCATCAGTACCAAACATATTATGTCTTACCTATCAGTTGCTGAATTGTTCCCTTTTCACAAAGATCATTGTTTACAGTCTCATCCTGAAGGTAGACCATGGCTCTTAGGAGTCTTAAAGTGTAACGCATATGGGCAAACTTATTGCCACGGCCCCCTGTACCATGAAAACTGTTACCATGACTAAAGAAGGAATCTGTGAAGAAATGGTAATAATTTACATCAAGAAATTGTACCATAAAAAATTATTTCTAGGGCAAAATCACTACCAGAAAAAAATATGGTATCTTCCTTATAATTTTTTTTCAAAAAATAATGTACTTCTTACTTTTTTCCTAAGAATTATGAGAATTAAAATAAAATATTCAACAAATTGAGACTCTGCTAATTTGGTAGACTATACATGGAGTCATTATATCTGACTAGAGATCTGGATTTTAAGCTCCATGAAGGTAGAGATTGAATTTATTTTGAAAATAAATCTATCTTTAGCAGCTAAAACAGTATCTGGTACCTAGTAGGCATCTGATAAACTTTTGTTGGATGAATAATTATAATATTTCTGGGACTTAGTATAATGGCTGGATAGGCCTAATAATACAAAACTTTAAATCAGATTATCTGTATAATTGCTTTTTCTGAGAGATGTGCATCAACAATAGTTACGACATTTACTAATATCTGATTTAAAATGAAATCTCAGATTCTTTTCCTTAAAACATATAAATACATCAAAATCACAGGAAGACAGATTTATATTTTCATTTCTTTTTGCTTTAATTTTATATCTTTTTTCTATGGATATATTGAGAGTTGAGTTGAAATACATAGATTAGAATTTTGACAGGAATCTTGAAGGGCCACTGACCTTCACTCTCGCACCATTCTAGAAATGCAAGAATTCGAGCATTTCCCTGGCACAGCATATATTCTTCTATTAACAAAGGAGCCACTGATGACAAAGTAGCAATTGCATGCAGTTGTAATTCTTCATACTGTGCTGCAGACCATTCAATTATTTTGTGTTTCTCAGGCTTTTTAACATAGGTAAACAAAGCCAAAACAACTTTGCCATCAATAAGTAGCTATGAGAAAGGCAAAAAGTATGTTGTTAGAAACATAAGTAAAACAATTTTACTTAATCTAAGAAAATTAAATAAAAGATGTACATTCTGATGTTTCATTGATGACTATTCCAAAATATTTCCTTTGTAAAGATCCTAACCTATGTTAGGTACCCCTCCCCCCAAAATATAAAATAAAACACCAAACTCAATAATAACAGTTGGCTGTAATCCCCTTTTTGGGGATATGTATTCTGTAGCTGACAAGAATAATATAGAGCAAGCATTAATTTTTTTTTTTGTCTATGCTGCCTATATATGTAGTTCCTCCTTATCACAAAACCACAGGAGTTTAAAATTTGGAGCAAATAAAACTGATGGCATTTTCTCTTCTTTATTTTTTTTAAAAAAAACATTATAGTATATAATAGATTGTATACAATATAGTATACAATAGATTCAATTGTATACTATAAAAATCAATTTTGTCTGAAGTAATGACTATGGCTAAGTTTTAAGCACACAAAACAGAACTTATACAAATATTCTATCCAATGAATGCCATATTTTTAATTATATTCCTAGAATTTAAAAATTGTATTGAATCCATGATTTCAATAAAAACAAAAATGCATAGCTATTATGTTATAATCAAGTCAATATTATAGCTGATTCTGATTGATGCATAATTGTGGTTCACAAGATAGTTACACATGATGTGCTATATTCTGTTCAATTTTCGTTTGGCATTATTCTGTAAAGACTTTTTCACAATCACATCTGAAGTTTTCTAAATCTTTTACTATTCCACATGGAAAGAACACAAGATTTAGTATTGAGAAAACAAGAATAACAACTAGTTCTAGCATTACTGCAACTATTAAGTAGATAACATTTTTGAAATACTCTGTGAACTGCAAATAATAGTACACATGGTTCATTATCATTACTATTATTGGGCCACTAATATATGACATAAAAAAATTAGTTGATTCCACCGCTGACATAGTGCTTTAAGAAGCTCACCACAAACTTTGTGCCAATTGACTCTGTTGTCAACTAAAATTGGCTTATAAACTGTAGTGTAAAATTTATTTATTGTCTGTATAGCTATTTTAATAGTTATATATAATATTCTACTGTAATAATAAACCATGTTTTATTGAATATTTTCTATTTGGCATTTCAAAAACATTTAGGTTGTAACAGAGTATTTATTTTTGATATAAATAATAAAGTTATGGCTGTAAAGACAATTTTTCTTTTTCTGAGCTTTTTTTTAAGTATATATATTCCTCCAAGTGGCATTACCAAGAAAATCCGGAGCTCTTTTGATTCTCATAATAATTCCATGAGGTCAGTATTATACCCATTTTGAAGTTGAAATATCTGTGATTTAGAGAAAGTAAACAACCTATTTAAGAGCACATAGGTGGAAAGTGAAAGCACTGGATGCCACCTGACTAAAGGCCTTAACCAATATGGTATACCATCTATATGTTATCATTAATGATGTTGACAGAATGAATTCCCAGTTCTTTTTCACTATAGCACCTTGGAGCTTAAAAGAATTTTAGGACTAAATGAAATTTCATTTAATGCAGCAAATAACTAAACTAATGAAATTGTTAGTAGTATATTTTTTCTATCACTTTATAGTTTACAAAGACTTCATGTAAATCTCTGCCCTGTGAGCAGGGCAGAAGTATTAGAACCTTCCTTTTACAGTAGGAACTGAGCCTCAGAAAGTTTAGATGATTTTGCCAAGGCCATGAAGCTAGTAGGTGGTAAGACAGAAGTGAAATTAAGTCTCGGTGTTCTTGAAATTACATCATGCTCTCACATAGAATATAAAGTATTAAGATAAATTCATGGCTAATTAAAAAAAAAAGTAAGATGTTAGGTTTGTATGGAGAAAAGGCAGGTTCATAAGGGTTTGAAATTGGCAGCAGAGGTTAGCACTCCTCTAGCAGAATCAATCCTTGTTACTATTGTCAGGGATAGAGTTAGGCTGGATGGGCCTATGTAGGTCTTCTTTCTTTTTATGTTCCTTTATTGATAAGATCTAAATATATAAATAAATCTCTAAGGTTCTCCTGCTTTTCTTGGTTTATGTGGTCTAAGTTTAGGTAGGTTCGCTGTTTATTTTCAGATAAGCAAAGGAAATTCTGAAAAGGTGAAACTTTGGCCAATAAGAGTTTGTTACTTTCTATGGTAAACATATGAGCTGGTGAAAGATTTGCAGCCATGAATTTTAAAAAGTTACACTACAAAGCGAGTTGATTTTAATTTTTGTTTTGATTACTCTTTACCTGTACAGTAGGTAAATCTTTACATAAGATCACAATTATATTGAATAGCAACTTCTTCAACTCAAAATCTTCATAGGAATTAGAAAGTTTAAGACCTTTTACCAAAGGATTCTGACTTTTAACTGTGAGGGGACAAAAAAGAAAGAGTAAAATAAAAGCCAAAATGATGTATAAGATTCATAAAGATAATTACAGGTTGAAAGTTTTATGGATTTTACCTTCATTAAAGGTTGCAAATAATATCAAATCCCTGGTAAAGCCACATTCCTAATATAAATATACAAAACAAACAGAAGGATGAGTTAATTAATGGAAATTAAGTTGCATATGCCTATATTTACCTAACATTTCAATATCTTTATCAGATTCCCTTTGTCATTCATTTAAATTCATAAAGTGCTAATAATAGGAAGGGATGAAAGCAAGAAAATAAAAGCATATAACCAGATAAATTTGTAATTTATTTAATATTAAACTTCTGTAGGTTCTAAAAAATATTTTACATTATTCAAGAATATTTTATATAATGCTGTTTAAAATTTGGTTGAGAACCTAAAACGTATTAGGACTACAAGTAACTCATGTAATTCATTTTTATAACTTCAAATGACAAAACAAAGGAAGAAAATAGTTATTTCCTACAGCTTTTCTTCTTAAAAAACCCCACTCCCTACCCCAAACCCAAACACTCTTATATGTCAAAGGTTTGGTCAAGAGATAACAAAACAGTTCCTACTTAAAATGAAAAGCCCTAAAGAATAACCAGACTTGCAAACATTTCAGCATGAGAGAACTCATTCCTGACAGAGATATCCTAATTGGACTTTGTGCATTAGGGAGAGTTTACTGGGGCAAATGCTGAGCTTTTGAACTTGCAGCTCTATGTACTGGCTATTTTAAGATCAATACGGTTTCTTTACAATGTAAGCATGTTATTCTTTTGACTCACATTCATAGAATGAAACCTGAATGTTTCCAAGGATGCTAATGAGAACTTAAAGATCAGAGGAACATACAGGACCACCTACGCATTGCAGCCTTGATGAGAATGCTATGCAGAATTGTTTCCTCATTTACACAGTATGACTCCTATGACCTTTCTCTTATGTTGGGATCACTTGATGTCCATTACCATGGGGTTGTGGCCTTCGTTGCCAAATTTCCTTTAAGTATAAGTTAGAAAGTATGTGGCTGATAATATGAATATTGTTGCCAAAGATCCCTACTCTAAGATGTAATCGATTATTCAATGATTTTTACATGATAAAATATGGGGAAGTTCAGCTTCTGATATGGCAGAGTAGCTCCTATAAGAAACACTCCTGCAGGTAACACTTATAAATTCTGAACAAAATATGAAAACAACTACCTAGAAGATACTGGAGAAGAGTCAGGACTTTGATGAAGGAAATGGTACTGCATGAGTTTCCCTTTTTCCTTAAATGGCTTTTAGAGTGAGGCCAAGCTCTAGTCTGCACCTTGCGGGGATGCTAAAACTCAGGATAAACCAGTAATCTTAGTGTCTTGAAGAACCAGAGGACAGAGGCAATCACAAAGCAACCACTGCTACTGGAAAGTGAAGGGAGAAATCCCATATGGGAGAAATCCCGTAAAGGAGAGAGCCAGAGAAAGGGAAACCCAAATTCTGTGTATAAACTTTCCAAATCTCTGGCTGATGCCTGAACCACACAAGGAACACTCAAGGAACCCATGTAAGACTAAAAGAAACGAACTGATAATTGAGCTGCCTCCACCACAGAGATGAGTCTATCCAAACTACATGCTTATTAATACAAAAAAAAAAAATACTTTTCAGAGGAATACACCAGAATTGACCGTAAAGATGCTCATAATGAATGGAAAGACAGGCACTCTCAGCAGAGAAGTAGAAAGTATCAAAAGGAACCAAAAGAAAATTCTAAAACTGAAACATGTAACATCTGAAATAAAAATGTTTTAGATGGTATTAATAGCAAAATGAAGATGACAGAAAAGAAAGTCAGTGAACTTAAATATATAGACCAATACAAATTATCCAATCTAAAGAAAAGAGAGAAAAATGATTGAAAAAAGTGAACAAACCTGGGAGACAATATCAAAAAGTTGAACATACAAGTAATCAGAGTTCCAAAAGAGGAGAGAATGGAGCTGAAAAAATACTTAGAGAATAATGACTAAAAATTCTCCAAATTTAGTGAAAGACCTATATTTACATATTCAGGAAGTTCTATAAACTCAAAGAAGATAAATACAAAGAAAATCACATCTTGACACATCATAGTAAAACTGCTGAAAACCAAAGATAGAGTGAAAATCTTGAAAAACAGCCGGAAAACAAAATGATACATTTTACACAGGAGAACAATTTGAAATAACATATACTTCATATCAGAAACAATGGAGGCCAAAGGACAGTGGAACATATTTAAAGTGCTAAAAGAGAAAAATTTCTACCTAGAATTTTATATTCTGTGAACACAGATTTCAAGAATTAAACAAATTAAAGATATTTTCAGATAAAAGAAACTAAGAGAATCTGTTTCCAGCAGCCAGCAGATCGGAAGTTCTTCAGGTGAAAGAGAAATGGTATCGGACAGAAACTCATATCATCAGGAAGGGAAAAAATGCATCATAAATGGTAAATATGTGAGTAAATTATAAAATATGAGGAAGACCTCAAATTTTCAAAGGCAATGGAAAGAGAAATTGGCAGAGTACAAGTGTACTGGCAACCATCATGACATTACAACATAACTTGGCATTACAGCAAAGTACATAAATATTACGACAAAGTCTAGTGCTCTTTTCTCTAACTCCTATCACTTTGAATTAAAATTAATAAAATTTACTCATACTTACAATCATTGGTGCTTCAGGATTTTGAGCTATAATTGTAGTGATGACTAATATATCGTTTCTAAGCTGACGATCATAATGACGAAAGCCTCTCATAAACAGATTTTTAAATATTTCCTTCAAGGCCCTAGAAAGTAAAATCATATTTTTAGAACCATATTTTAATGGAAATGCTACTTAAATGTTTACCAAGAAAATCTCCCTTTTGTATTATACTATTCATTGCCAAGTATTTCTAATTTTTTCCATATTTCCAAATCTGCCCCTAATTCACTGTAGTGAGAATCCATTCAGGTACTAAGAATCTATCAATGCAATCTACCCATGGTGGTCAGAGTGACTGCTCTAAAATAAAGATTTGATCACTTCATTTCCCTTTTTAAAACTACTTAAATCTACAGCCACCCTGTATGTGCCCGATCTTGTCTGATCTCGGAAGCTACGCAGGGTTGGGCCTGGTTAGTACTTGGATGGGAGACCACCTAGGAATACCAGGTGCTGTAGGCATTAAAAAATAATAAAAAAAAACTACTTAAAGGCTTTTCTTTGTTCTTTAGATAAAGTTCTACTTCCTCACCAATGCTCATCAGGCCTTTTGCGTTATTTATGGTCCCTGCTAACACTGTTGACGTCATCACTTTTTTACCTGTACTTTCTGCTCTCGTCATACTGAATTTCTTTCAGGTTTCTGATTGCTAAATTCTATTTTCACTTCTGCTCCCTGTCTGGGATGCTCTCTGTAGGCAAAACTCTTCTATGTTGCCAATTTGTATTTATCATTCAGATACCAGATTAGGGTTCATTAGGAAGCATTTATTAGCTCTCCAAGTTTGCTTCAGGTTCCCTGTACAATGGGCATTTGTTGCTTTGCTTCTTTGGATCCGCTTGCCTTTCTTGTGATAACTGTATCCTTATTTTTATTTAGGCTTCACTCCTTACCCACTTTTGGTCTTCTGAACTGCCTTCAACTTTCTTTTAGCCAGAACACTCCTCTTTGTTATTAGTAATTCGCTCTGGAATGGGCAATGGCCAACATCGCAATGCTCAGGGGCCAACAGGGACTCAATTTGAAAAAATTTTCTCCATGCTTTCAGAATAGCAAGTTTTCTCTTCCGCTTGATTTGGGGTTGTGATGTTGTGAACCTAGACTTCTTAGGTCTCACCAAGTGGAGCTTGTAAAGAAAGCCAACATAGCAGAAGGCAGTGCAGAGAGATGAAGAGGGCCCAATTCTTGATATCTGCTGAGCCTTGAATACAGCTGCACATGAAACCAGTTTTATTCTAGTTACACTAGCTCATAAATTTCCTACATGGTTTAAACTGGTAGGGTTGGGTGTTCAGTCACTTGCACACAAAAATATACTGATTCACCCTCTTCTGGAAAACATGTAGCATCTTGCAATAATCCCTTTCATAACATTTAGTACGCTCTATTTTATTTGCTTATTTACTTGTCCATCTCTCCTAATATAATGCAAATTCCACAAAAGCAGAAACCATGTCTGTATTATTTTCAATTGTTTTTCTAGGGCCTAGAGCAGACAATAATCACTTGACAAATAAATGTATAAGTAACTTAAAGGTTTACTCATATTGTTGCTAATGCTTATTGCAGTATCTAGAAGACAATAAGTATTCAAAAAACAGATTTAGTGAATATAGAAAAATAAAATAGTTCTTTTAAATGTCTAATTTTACTTTATACATATTCAAAGACATAATTTAGTTTTGTTAACAAGACTTTGTTAACTTTAATAGCCTTCTATATAGGAAAAAAATGGCTTTTCTGCTGATGCATTCATACCATGGTACAAAAAAAGATGTTCTGAAACATAGCCATTACATGAAACACAAGCCTAATTGAACACAAATTGAAACAAAAGTGTTAGTTATGTCACCGACTATTATTTTAAGATTAAAAAGCATTCCTATCTAACTACATAGACTTACAGCAAACATTCCAAGTTACTAAGCTGTTGTATGATTTCTTCTTTTGAAGATTTTTCCAATAAGTTCCAAAGTATTTCTGATGAACGAAATAGAAGCTGTCCAGAGGGATCTGGGTCATTGAGATGAGCACAGATGCTACTGGCTGCTTGTGCTTGCATCATTAAAGTACAATTAGCTTCTGAAAATAAATTTAAAAATTATTTATATTGCACAGTCTTGACATTGTTAGATAGAAACAAAATAGTTGAGACTAAAGTGTTCAAATTTAATAATATACAAACCAGAAGTTGAGAGATGTTGCAGAGCTTTCAGTACCCAAAGTTTCTCAACAAGTTGATTATCAAGCAAGGCCAATGACTGCACCATTGTTTTTGCCAATCCTCCGACTTCAGCCATTTGAATCTTATATGATGAGCTAGCTTGCTGGTAACCTAATGATGATTAGTTAATAAATATGTACAGTTATTTCACATAGTAATCATCTACATTAAGATAAAGGAATGAGTAATTTATCTTTAAACAGCAGCAGCAATAACAAAACTTTTAAAAAGTGTTTGGTTTAAAATGGTTTGGCAAAATTTTTCTATAAAGGGTCAGGTAGTATTTTAGGTCTTGTAGGTTATAAGGTTTCTGTCTCAATTATTCAACTTTGCTATGATAGCATGAAAGCAAGCATATACAATATAAAAAGAAATGGGCATGCTGTGTTCCAATAAAACTTTATTTACAGTGGGCTGATTTTGGCCTGGGGTCTATAGTTTGCTGATCCCCCATGCAGCATTTGCAATAGGACTATAAATTTGGGGGCACATTTTAAATTCTAAAAAAGAACAGTATTTCTCGTCAGTAGATATGTCTTTCCATAAAGGAAAATGGCATAATTACACAAATATTGAATGTTTTCACTATTCAAGTCAACACATTACTTCAGTGCTTTCAAGGGACAATAATTATGTGATGTTCGCAATAAAATAAGAGGTAAAAATATAATGCTGTTCTGATCAGTGTTAGTAAATAGAATGGTATTTTAGGGAAGTTTGATTCTTGGTGACATATCTTATAAGAATTTCCTTCTGTCTTAGCTTTTATGAGAAACACTACCGCTCCTTTTGATACAGTTGAACAGGCGCCTGCCCAACTACATTTAACGAGAAAGATTAAGTGAACATCAGAAGCTACTTGCTCACCTGAGATGCAGCTATTTTCTTTTAGTGATGTCACTTATCTGACTCCCTTGACTTCTCGACTTTTGAGACTAAATTCTTTAACTTTGTCATAGTTCTGGGATGTCTTTCAGTTTATCTTTCTGAATATGAGCTCTGGACCTGGATAAGGCCTTGTCCTTCCTGTGATGCATTCTCTATGGTATGCCCTAGCTAGTCATTTTAAGCATTTAAAAAGTATGAAGAGGAAGACAAAAATTGCCTGTAATTTCACCATCCATATATAACAATACTAACATTTTTGGTATATTTCTTGCTGATATTTTAATGTGGGCATATAACTTTAACAATATACCACATGTATACATAATTTTATATTCTACTGCAGCTATTAACCATTTTATTGTAAGCTTTTCCCCACTCTGTAAAACATTTTCTTGAATCATGATTTTCGTTTGCATGATAGTCTATCATAGGGATGGCCCCAAATGTATATTTAAACTTACTTTATCTTTTTCTATTGAGTTTATATTTCTAAAGAAGGATATTCTAATATTAAGGCTCATGGACTTGATTCCTATCTCCAGGGCTATGTCTCTTATAATTACTCTACTGAGGACTTTTCAGCTGTGTTCTCAGATGTCCAGCCATGCCCATCTCTTGAAACCATCTGTGACAGTGAGAACATTGCCTAAGGCTCCTAATTTTCAGAGCCTGATCAAATTAAGGTCACTTCTCTGCATCTTCACTCCTCTGTTCATATCTCATACATCATTTATCTTTCTACCTTAAAAAAACAGTGCCTGTATCTTACCAAGGTTAACTCTTAAGTTTATGCTCTTAATTCCATCCTCTGATGATTTCTTTGGGAATTTTGCCCTCCCGTTTCCTACTTACTAGCTTTTTGTTCCTCTGCCTACAAACTTCATTTTCCCCTATCCTAAAAACAAATTGAAAACAACAAAACCTAAATATCTTTCTTTGATCTTGCTACCGGTTCAGCTGTTCTCCATCTTCTTTTTCTTCAACATATCATAAAATATGTCTGTATTCACTGCCTCTACTCCCTTGTTCCCACTGCCTCCACTCTCACGGTCTTCTCATTTCTTTAATCATGCATCTGCCCTGACGCTTTATGGCAATAACCCGCCTAAGATTAACTATAATTTTCCAGATACCACATGAACTTGGCTTTTTCATTCCTCAATTACAGAAGCCTCTGCAGCATTTGCTACTGAGACCACTTCTTCCTTCATTAAACATTTCACTCATTGGCTCACAAGACATGGCAAACTTTAGGTTTTCTTCTTCCTCTCAGAGCCTCCCTTCACTGCCAATATCTTGAGATCGTTTTTTTCCAAACCTCAAAATGGGCACTCTCCATGATGTCATTCTAGGTCCCTTGCTGTTCTCCTAGCAAACTCTACTACTCTGATGGCTTCAATTTTCATCTCTATCTGGATGGATTCCAAACCTTATTGCTGGTCTCTGCTTTTGATATCTAATGTCTACTATCTATCAAATACTTCCTCCTATCTCATCAATAGTTCAAGTTTGACATTTAATAACCTCCTTATTAAATTCTTCACACATCTTCCCATTTTTCTCTAGTCATAGTGATCTTTCTTTTTCTACTACAGGGTCTTATTTCTATCTATCTTAAGGAATTTGTAACTTAAATAACTCAAAAATATTATTTATATCTTCTCTCCCTTCCTAGATTAATATAAATTACAGAAACTCTGAAGGTAGGAAGTATGTCCTAAATGAAATTATATCCTCCACAATATAGGTGCCCTCTGCCTTGATATTACACATTTCAGTGTCATTCATTTTATCATTATATATTAAGATCCCTTAGCTGTAACATGCAGAACTGTTTTCCCGAATATGATGGAGAATGTTGTTATTATTAGGAATTTAATTGGTGGGACAGATATTATCAATAATTATAAAATGTTAGAAAATAATAAATGATATCAACACTATGAAATAACATTAATAGTAATACTTATAATGAAACTAACGAGTATGACTTTAAAATTATATCATAAATATTTAGCATCAGAATAAAAATATTATGCAAATCAAAATTGAAAAAAATTTTTCTTTGTTTAAAATGACCAAAGAACTTGAGACTACAAAAAAACCCTGTTTTTGATATATGCATTTATGATCCCACTCCGTCTTTCTAAGTTCAAAGACAAATAAGACAGAATATTCTGTTTCATAAAGACCAAAGTTATTACAGAAAGACCATTAAAAACTTCACCTGTAATATGCTTCTTTGGTGGTTCTGCATGGTAAAAGTCAACAATACACTTACAAATTTGTATCCTCAGTTCAGAACTTGGTACTTTCATTAAGTCACCTGCCAGAAAGATAAATGAATACTATTTAATAATACTGTCATATGCTTATTTGCAAATTTAGTGTAAAGTGTTAGAATATCATTATTAAAATATCTTCACCAGAGATTTGTATAATCTCATACGAGTTGGATTGTAGGATTGTATAATTTTACACACACACACGCGCGCGCACGCACACACACAACACCCTGGATTTAACCTTATAACATCTGGCTCCTCAATCAGCTCAGCCTTTCTTTCCCAGGAAGAAAAGAATGGTGATTAAAAGCATAAATGCTAGAACCACACTAAGATTAAACCCTGGCTCTGCCACTTACTACCTGTATAAACTTGTGTTTTAGTTTTCTCATCTATAAAACAAGTATTATTATTATTTTGGCAAGATGTGGGTTACCAACATGTTCCTCCCTAACCAGAGTCAGTAATTTGTGATCTACAGTAATTTATCCTTTACTTGAAGAAGGCCCAAGTGAAGCTCTACTCTTCAATTTGCTGACAGAGTAGAGGATAGTGAGTTTCTAGGTGGCCTTTGCCCTGCAGGTAATAGTTTTTAAGTTCAAGTTCTTTGGGTAGGGATATAGGATAGAGAGGGTTCCTTTTCAATCGTATCTTCTGAACTGGTTTCAGGCGGCATGTCAAACTGCCTTGCATTTGCTCTGGTGAAGTCCTATAGGTGTGATCCTCAAAAGAATCTGAAAATAATCTGTGAAGTTCTAAAACTGATCCATGCCCTCTGGGGGACTGAGCACAAATGGAGTCAGTGGTGTCAGCTTTAGGACTGACTCAGATCTGGCTGGATTCTTAGAGGGAAAGGGGACAATTACATGTTCCCTGAAGACTTGAGTTTTGCATTAGGGCTTACATAATGTTCATTTCTGGGGTTAGTCAGTGAATGCAGATGCAAGTGGACAGAAGCAGGGAGCACAGAGGACATTCTCATCCTTGTTTAAGGAGACCCTATCTGCAAAAGACATCACACAAAAAAGGGACAGTTTCAAGATTATTTTCTAAATTTTACTTTTTTAGACTCTCCCTTTGAAGTTGAAAAATCACATTTTGGAAAAATTTAGGCAACAACTAAATTTTTCCAACAGAACTAACCAAATGTTCAAGTTAATAGAAATTTCTAAGGTTTCTCATCTGCTTCTCCACCCTTTTAGTTCCTGTAAATTTAGACCATTTCTCACAGTTTCCTGTTTTATAATCTCAGGGCAGAGTACCAACTTCTTTACTCATACATTTCTGGAATTCTGCTCTTAATAGAAATATCTATCGTTTAGAAGAATAAGTAACATATTTACTAGTACATAGTAGAAACTGGAAGTTATTAGTAAAAAATAGCCTTTGTTCAAAATTTTATATTACCAATAATGATTTTAGTTTAAACTCATGTTTCCAGCAACGAAAAAATTAGGGACAGAACAGTAGTAGTTGCAGGCAGTAATCAGTGAAGGGAGTTCATTCTAAGATGAGAGTTCATACTGCCCTCAAGTGAGACAGCAACGTGTTCTGTAGGCAATCAGTCATTCAGCAAAAAGCAGACATGAGTTAGAAATGGGCCACGTGGCTATCATATGAATTTCTGCAAACACTCTTAGAGGCAACATTTAAAAATAATATGGGCATCAGAGGCATTTAAAAAATGTTATCAACTAAACCTACATTTTTTCTCTGTTAATAATACCAAGTCCTCTTTGTGGCTGGCTTCCTATTATAAATTTCCACTGATGATAGAGACTCACAGAATTAAAATTTCCCATTAGTTTTCAGCCTGCTTGCTCTTTAAGATCATTCTGTCTAACTCCCCATATTTATTTAATTTCCTTTATAGCTTTACTTCCTCTAGGCCATAATAATTTTTCCCAAAGTATCTACAGTTAAGGACTATAAAATTTGTTTAGATATAAAAGGTTAGTGTCTATGTTAAAAATTAAAAATACTTTTTACCTATTCCATTTGAGTCTCTAACATCTTTTGGTATGGTATATAATGCTGGGAACATAACTATTCAGTAAATACTTTTTATTTGTTGGGCTAATTGTATATCTTTTATTTATATGAACAAAGACCTATATTAGTAAGTATAAATTTAATGCAGGACTTGTATTGGGAACATGCTGTCATATCTCAAGGACAGATTCAAGGAACTAGTGTTTGAATGATCTCATTTCCTAGGAAATTATTATTTTCTTTCTCTAGAAAATTGAGCAATAACTGAAATACAAACTGCTGTTTTATGGTATTTTTTCATATTTTTAAATATGAAACATAGGCACCCTCATCTTTATGTATATTATGCTAAAGTTCTTAATGTTCCACCATTTTATAATTTTATTTAAAATTTTAGATTATTTATTGAACAATTCAGTTCTCAATGAATCTAGCACTTATTAGAGTTCAGTTGAAAACATTTTGTGATTACTGAGATGGACATATACTTCAAAATAACACAAACTAACATCAAGACAAATAAGCACACAGAAGTATCTGTCCTTGTATTTAAGGAACACAGAATCTTGTTGGTATTATGGAACATCTGAGTATAAAAAAATACAAAAATTATCACCAAGCACATTATAATTAATTCCCAACCAGAAAACAAGAAAAGAGCCTAGATTTGGAGGAGCGCCCTTAGTGAAACAGTGAAAGAGACATTTCTTTCTCATCAGTAACGTCTGTCATATGTTATACCCCTCGATCTGAAGGAAATCTTAACTTACCCAGAAGTGCGATTGAATTAGCAGTATCTTCAGCATATGTTATTTCATCCGATACTTTCTTTTTCAAAAAAGGCAAGCTTCAATAAGGATGAAGAAATGTACAAGATATGTTTAATGAAGTCCTTAATTGAAGCACCATTTGCAAAGTAGGGGAAAATTTCCTTTCAAAAGAATAAAATGAGAATATCCTATTCTTTAGCCCTAGGGAACTGACAACTATCAAAAAAAATTTTTGTGTCTCTAAGTGACCAAAAGAAAAATAAAATAGGTTTATAAAAAGCAAGGGTTAAGAAAGCCATTTGCAACACTGCATAAATAAAAAACTTAAAAATCATCTTTCTCTCTGAGGGCAAAATAATAAGGGATTATAGCTGTATTTCTACCAAAATTTGGAAGACAACAGATAATCTGATACAAATCAGATCTTGGCTTACTTATAACTTAAAAGCTGTTCAAGGGCTTTTTCTGAAGTTCGTGAAACTCTACTTAATAGATCAATGGTTTATTTGCTTGTAAAGGTCAGTGACCTTTCCTGGATCAGTTACCATCCACAAAAGAACAGATATACTTTTTGAGACACTAAGAAATCCAAGTTAATGAATATTAATTATATTATTATTGCATTTCACAACCACTGTAACCAAAGTTATTTGAAAATAATTTATTTACAAATAATAAAAAGATATTGCACTTGAACCTATGTCATTAGTCTAAATGTCAAAGGAGAAATAAAATTATTTTTTAAATACAAAATATAAACTATTTTGGATTTCATGAGTTCAAAATTTGAAACTCCTGTGCTGCTTATTTAAAGTATAAGGTATCCTGCGTATAAGATTTAATTAATGTTTTTTCAAGAAAAATTAACCAAGTGGTTGAAAAACGGCATTTAGAACTATCATATGTGGGTGTATACATGTGCCATTTGGAATCGAAAGATATTTCAAGTGCAAGCTATGAAAAGGACAATTTTGTAAATGTCACAGAGGTTCGTTTCTAATGTTTGTTAGAATTTTCATTTGAAACAAATAACATTACTTATTAACCACCTTATTGTTAAATCTCTAAAATGAAGAACTCTAAAACCAGTTCTACTCGCCCTCAAACTTTTTCCTTTTCTACCAAAGGAAACAACCTAAAAGATAAAGCCTCAGAAGCGCATTCCAACAAAAAGGTTATTTAAAAAAAAGCATTATACTTCTGATGCAGTGAGAAAGGCATACAACTTAGAGGCCAAAACAGAAAGGCTTTATTTTTTTTATTTTACTTTCAATGTTTTTATCTTCCAAAAAAAGGCTTAGAAAGTTGTAGAATCAAGTGAGGATGAGGTGTGGAGAAATGTAGGATGAAAGCAGAAATTAGGAAAGCAGAAAAAAATGAAATAATATGAATAATTATAAAATGTAAAGAAAAGTGAAGAGTGTAACTCAAAAGATTTGTCATACCATGCAATGAAACATTTAGTCACAGCTTTCATAAAAAAAACAGTTCTGACTGGAGCTTTGCAGAAGCACTGATATTGAAATAAGGCTTATGAGTCTGGTGTTCTTAGGACTTGCACAGCCTCAAAATTTGAAAATGTTTTACATATATAATCTCACATCTATTTAATAGTAATTATTTCTAATTAGTACATTAAAGTTCCTTGAAAGCACAAGAGCAAGTGAAGTTTTCTGAGTTCCGTATCACTTTGCTATACCATAATGCATAATATCTTTACAATACAAAACAAAACATTAAAAAAAAACACTGCATGCAAGATAAACAACTTACCCACATAATTTTAGGATACTATATGCGGATTCTATAAAATGGGGCTGTTGTCCAATTTTCCCTGCACACAGATTCAGAATTTTAAATATCTGTGCTAAATCCCTTAGGGGCTTTAATACTTTTAGTTAAGAAATAACATTAAGATTAATATTTTTATTAACATTCTTTACAGTGCTTCTGCCAAGAAAGTCTATACAATTCTTATTCTGTTAAATGCAGTCGACACCAGTTTAATTATACTAATACTGAAGTCTAAAAAGGAAAACTTAGAACCATATTTTTTAAAGGAAGATTATTAATTTTTATCTCTCAAAATTCTTTTTTTCTCCTTTCACTATACATTTAGAATTTCATTATCAACTACTATGCCGCAGATTCAGTTCATCAATAACTTACTACTGACAATGAGTAATAACATCTTGAAAAATTAACTTAATGGCTCAATGATATCTTTCTTTTCTACCCACCCACAGGAAACATTAATTGCTCCAGAATAAGCAACCCAAACCTACCTTCCTTTTCTGCATTACTTTATTAACATTACTCAGGGTGTGTTACTCTTGTTCTTAAGATTTAAATTGGTTGAAATTTGATTTCATTTAAAACCATCTCTAGATCTTCAGGTAAAAGCACCTGTATTTCACCTATTTAAAAAACCCCATTGGTACATAAACAAATTTCACAGATTCTGTTTTAGAGCTTAGGGAACAGAGTAGTTGTGAGGACTGGGTATATTAGAAATCAAACCTCTGTTAACTTCCTAGAGAAGTGACCAAGATACTTCTCTAATTTATCTTTGTTTTAAGTTTTATAACCTCTAAAGCCAGACTACTAAAGGCATTCAGAAATAGAGTCATTTGCCACCAACTCTCTAACCTGAAGAAGAGAAAAAATGGTTAAGATAGGCAAAAAAATCACTTGCTAGTAGACTTTCTTGGCTACCAATAAATAGTGCTTAATATGCACAAGTCCTCGGGTAACTGATTGACTCAACAAATCCACAGAAGACAGGGCTAAAATATGGTAAGAAAAGAGTTAGATAAAAAATAGTTAGATTTAAGGCATATTTCCCTTAATAGGAGAGTTAAGGCATTTTGAAATACTGGGACAAGCTAATATTAGAGACTGATATCTCCTTTTAGACAGGACAACTGTCCGAGACTGTTTAGATCAATACTACTGAAAGTGTGGTCTATGGACCACTGCCAATTCTGAAATTGTATGTTACCAGTCTGTGGCAAGATGACTTCAGAAAATGAGAGTTTCCTGTGACAATTTTATTGCATTTTGCAATAGCATATATATGCAAAGGTTAAAACAACAACAAACTGATTCTTAAGCACAGATAGTTTTGAGATGAAGTAGTTTCCATACATTCTGATTGGGGTGATATATTCGGTGGGGATAGTATCTCATATTAATATAATATTTTGCAGATAATCAAGCACTTTCATGTACATTATCTAGTCTTCTTAACAACCTCATGAAGTACTGTTATCTCTATTTTATAAGGGCAGAGAAGTTAAGAAACTTACCAAGAGTGCAAATACTGAATAAATTGACAGAAACAGGACTTCGACTTTGCCCTCCCAACGATATTTACTGTTTCTCTAAGTCTATAGAAACTGACACTATCTGTACAGAGTTAACTGTATTATACTGCTTTATTCAATTTTATATTTTCTAAGAAAAAATATGTAATTTTATAAAAAACACAAAATGTTAGATATTTTCTATGGTAGACAGAATAATGGCCAGAATAATGGTCTAAAGATGTCCACATTCCAATCCTCAGAACTTGTGAATATGTTACCATATGTGACAAGGGGACTTTTCAGCGAATATGTTAAAAAATTGTGAGATAGGAAAGATATCTTAGATTAACTAGTTAGGAACAGTCTAATCACGGTGTCCTTATAACAGAAAGAGAGAGGCAGGAGATGTGATGACAGAAGCAGAGGTGAGAGTGATGCTACTGCAAGGAAGGGGCCGTGAGTCAAGGAATGCAGGCTGCTTCCAGAAGCTGGGAAAGGCAAGGAAATGGATTCTCCTGAGAGCCTTCAAAAGGAACCAGCTTTGCTAATACCTTAACTTTAGCTCAGTGAAACTTATTTTGGAATTCCGACCTCCAGAACTGTAAGACAAAAATTTGTTGTTTTAAAGGATTAAGTTTGTGGTACTCACAGCAGTAATAGGAAAACTAATATATTTTCTAATAAAAATTCTCCCATTTCAGGATAAATGAAACATACATACATAAATATGTAAAGGATACAAATCCATTCTGATAATACTGTACCAGTATCTTGACAGCTTTAAGTTGCTTTTCTTCTAAATCATCCTAAAACAAATGATCTCTTTTAGTTCTTTTGTGCTATTAAAACTGTTGAGATTAAAATTTTCTCTTTAATATAAGAAGTAGACACATTAAAATTAAGAAATTCTTAAACTACTATATTATAATGTAAAGATTATAAAATGTTTCCTGAAACAGTGAAGTAAAACTCAACTAGCATTTAAATTTGATTAGGAAATTGAGAATTAGACGTAGGTTAATATATGAGCAGGAATTGTTTCCGGAAATAATATTAACAATACCTGAAGTATGCTGAGCATTTTTCTATGCCATGCACCATTTAGGCACTATTCATACATATTAATCTTCAAAATGACACTACTAGGGAGGTACTTTTATTATCCCTGTTTTCCAGAATAGAAAACTCAAGCTGAAACACTGATTTGTTTGAAATCACACAGATAATAAGTGGTGATGTTAGGAGTCAAATTTAGCAATCTGACTCCAGAAATTGTATGTTAATCTCTAAAATATGCCCAGACTACTGACGCAAAGTGAACATCTTCAGCCAATTAAAACAAAACTCTCTACAGTGATGTGTTTTTATGACTGAATCATTTCTGTCCTTTTACCCTTAAATTGTTTTTAAAAAGCTGTGGCATTTTCTATACTTTCTTTTCCTTCCTTTCCACCCCCATCCTTACTTAACAACTAGTAGGAGCTATATGTAGTTGGGTTTTCCTTTTTAAAAAATGTAGATATATTCACAATTAAAAATAATTTTCACAACAAAAATAGCCAGTAAAAGATAAATTATTCTTATAGAGTCATTATTTTTATTGTTTTTGCTCTTTTTTGTGTAAAAATGTAGAGACTAAAAAAATGTTAAAATGATGACTAAATTTTTGTGCCTGCTAATCACAGGACACTGTTGTTTTGATCAGTTCTATCAAGGTCAACTCATTTTCCACTTACTTTATCAGTCTCTTCAAGGAGTTTGATGACACGATTTAGGTCCATAGGCTTTAAAGCACCCTAAAAAACATAAAAATCTTAGAATTCTATATCATGAGAATCAAGAAATTACATCAAACACACTTTTTTAAAAAAAAAAATGGGACATTATCCCTTCGCAACTTAAAAATATCTTATGACAAAGAGATAGGGGAGGATGAAAAAGCAGATGAGACCTTAAAGGAGTAAATAAATTTTGGAATAAAAAAAAAAAAAAGCACCTCTTGAATTCTAATATTATCTTGTAATATTAATATCTTTAAATCTGAAAGTCCCGAAAGGTCCAAGAGACCATCTGGAATAATAGCCCTTCCATGCTTTGGAAAATAAAATGATCTCATTCATACATAGTCCATATCTCATGCATACACATGACACTGAATTTACCTAGGCAGATATATATATATATATACGACTAGCTCCTAAACCACAGGTAGGAGACTGCCTTTCTGAACCAGGTATCTCCTCTCTCAGTTGGTACCAGCATTCTTATAGTCACCCACATTAGAGAACAGGAAACTCCCAAGTTCTACAGATTTTACATCTTCAATATTTATTTCTTTTTTTACCTTAAAATAATTTTTTATTTTTCAAATAGGGTTGGTATTTTTCAACATTTCTCGAGGCCACTCCATCTTACTGATTTGTTCAGTTCTCATCTCTCACTCAGCTGCGAAGATTTCCTGTTGTTCTCCCTGCCTCTACTCTTGTATCTTTCAGCATCATCTTTTACACTACGATCAGAATAAAAAATCTCAAATCTGAACATAACCCATCCGAATCATTCGATGACTCTCCTTTAATGCCCCTCTTCTATTTTAATTTACGTTGTTACAATTCTATTCCTCTCCTTGGTTAATGCCCACAGGCTGGTCCTTCAAGATACAGCTCAGGTGTCACCTCCCCAAAGGATGAAAAAGGACAGAACAAATGTCCTTCCTTTGTGCACCCATAGACCCTACCTGTATATTTATTACAATTCCTATCACATTGTTCTAAAATGGCTTACATGTTTATTTCCTACTACACCCTGTCACAAAGGTCAGTTGAGGGCAAAGGCTTTTGTTTTCTGGCATGCCCAGCACTGAACACTGGGCCTGGCATATAAAATTATTTGTAGGGAAGTGGGGAAGGAAACAGGAGGGTCTATGATCCAAAGTTTAAGTTGATATAGAAATCTCCAAATTCTAAAAACAGTTTTGGCAATATTAATCTTGGGCGCTGATACTTTGTTGCATGACAGTTTCTTTTTAATTTAAATATTACATCACAATTGCTTACTCCCATTATATGAGTTAAGCTGTCCCAGTTTCCCTTGTTTCCTTCCTCCTGTTGTGCTTGCTTTCACTTACTTTTACTTTAAAATAACTTTAAAATAAAAGATGGTGTAATGATGATATAAAAAGGAAACATATCCTACTTACTCCTATCATCTAAATTCATCTATTTATATTTTTATATATTATTTTCTGGTTTTGTATATTTTTATACATTATTTTCTGTTTTTATTTCATATATAAATACCTTATATAAATTCGCTTAGTGTTAACACCACTGTATTTTCTGACTTTTAAATCTATAATACATACATTTCCATATTTCTACAGTCATTATTCCAATGCCTTTTAAATCTAGAGTTTCCTTTCCTTTCACAATTACAAACTTGTATACTCTGACCTTTAAAAATGCCTTTCAAAAACAATTTCCAGTTAAGCATTCTAACTTTAAGTCTACAGAATAAGTATTGGAATGAGTTTATTTACTCAAAATAATTTTTACTTTAAAAATTAATAATAAAAATGGATTTATTACTTATCTATACCTAGTATCATGGTTATCATTAAAAATTACATTTTTACTGTTAAATTATTAAATTTACTGTTACCAAAAATTTTGTAGTGTAATTTTGCCTTTTTAAGATCTAGATATTTAACAGTGCCATCTATCACTACCTCAGTTGTCCTTTCTTTCCTGTGTTCTCAGAGAAACATATATTATGAGTTTTTATTTTCTGATTTCTGCAATACTAGCTTTCAGGTTAGAAAGGATATGAAAGTCAATATAGGATTTTCTTTGTAATATCTGTCTGTATTATCAGATATTTCCCCCCTAATAGCAGGTATAACTCTTACAGGAAACATAATAAAGATTAAAGTTTAGGTTCCCCTTAGATTTATCTTGTAATATAACTTCACGGAACAGCTTCCAGAAGTTATCTGCAAGCAGAATTGAGAGTGAATAGGATTTGTGAGATGAACTGAAGATTTGAGAAAAGGAGGCAGAGGGAGTAGCATATGTGAAGGCCTGGGGGCAAGAGAAAACATGACACCTAGAGGATCTGGAGTCATCCAGTATGTTGGAGAGGAGAGTGCAGGGGATAGTGGCTACAGAGGCTGCTGATGAGGTAAGCAGAGGTCAAATCATGAATCCTAATGATAGTAAATAACAATGATGGTGATAGCTAAAACTTATTAGACATTATATCCAGGTACAGTTATAAGTACTTTACATGTATTTACTAATTAAAGTCTGTGAGGTAAGTACTATTATAAACTCCATTTTACAGAAAGCTTTGTATGCTATGTTAAGGATCTTCAGAAGCTCTTGAATGGTTTGAGAGACTGGAAACATAAACAGACAATGGCCAGACTATATATGGCAACAGAACTCTGGCCTACAACCTTTGTAGCAACCAATCTGGGGGGCCAAACCACAACTTCTGCTGCAGTTGGCTCAGAAAAGTCAGGATTTGGTCAATGACTGCCAGATTCCCAATTTGTCACTCAGGACCCCAAAAAAGCCAAATATGCTTCCAAAATCAATCATACAGTATGCCCTGCTTCTAGCTAGCTCACCTCTACCTTCTCCATGGCCACCACCTACAACGGAAGCATACCAGAAGGCTTCCTTTTATTCACTATAAAGCCTCCCTTCCTGCCATGGGGGTCTCTGCCAAATGCAAGTAATGCTGGCTGACACTCTT